CATTATCACATACTAGGACATTTATCGGATACATATCCGCTTTTATCATATCATAGTCCAAACACCGGGACGTTTAACCACAGAACAAGACTCTTTATCATTTTAAGGTACAAATACAGCTTTATTTGAGATAGTTATTTGGAATCAGCTCCACTCTGCCAAATAGACCAGTGGAGGCTGATTCAGCAAGCAGAATAAATACAGGGAAAGATTTGAAAACATTGCAGGATGGAAAAGATATAAAAGGATTAGCGTGCTAGACGCCTGCACGCCCCATGGACTCCTTTTAGCTTTGCTCGTCTCTGTCTTTGTCTCCGTCTTCGCTATCGTTACTTGTTCTCGTCCTACTCCTCTCTTCTAGTAAGGCTGTCCAATGTACGTCGACACAGCCATATTCGCTACCCTGACCTTCTTCCACCCGTCTCCTCTTCCTTATTGTCTTTAGCCTTTCGTACATTTTGCTGGTCGACTTGTACCCTTATTCACTTTGTGCTGTAGATGTATCATGTAGTCGCTCCGTCTATTGTCTCGTCACTTATTCATGTATACAAGAAAGGCTGGGTGTGGGGATAGAGACTTCAAACCACATTCTTTGACCCTCTTCTCTCCCCTCCTCTTCTTCCTTTACCTCTACACTTCCTCTCAAGACCTCATCCAAGCACATCCGTGTCTTCCCCTTCAAGTAATTGGACTCGACCCGCAACTACATTTGGTGTTTACTACAGCTGTCTCCCCAGAGCAGGTCTGATCACCACATCTGGGGGCTTAACTGGGTTTTTGTCCTTCTACCTGAAATAGGCCACACACTTGTGTATTGGTTCAAGGTCTAGTACATGTATCACCCTACTCCACCACCACCCTACCCTACTTCCACTTCACCACTTTCCCTCCTCTACACCACCCTTAGGTGTATTCATCTTGCTGTCTACCCGGGCACTGAGTCTCCACTCCGTGTCCCCTACTTCCCTTTCCTTGACTGCTTCTACGACTAGCAAGAAAAACTGGAAAAAAACCCTGAGGCCGCGCGCACCTCAGGCTCCAAAAACAACCGACAGATTCGAATCTAAAACCGAAAAACCACAAAAGCACCAGTTTCTCAACTCGCCTCGGCCCTCTCCGCTTTCTTCCTCGGCCCCCCTCCACTTTTCTACCGTTACGTAACAGCGGTCTCACCTCAGCACAACCCTTTATCACTGCTGCTATACTCCGGCACAACCCTTTAACGTTGCCGCCTCCTCTTAGAGCCCCCCCTCCTAGCAACTTTTGATTGCTCCTCAACACTCTCCTAGTGTCCATTCATACGGCTCCCTTAGAAAAGCCGTTCGAATTCCTGGCGCCTCTCCGTCTTCCTCTGTTGACTGACAAGTTCTAACGGAACGACGAGGGTTTAACTACCACAAGGTAGCTTTTACCACTTCCTCCTCTGGCTCTTGTTGATCTCGTTCCAAGACACTCTAGCTCTCGATACTCTATCACGAGACGCTCTCTTTCTCTCGACGCTCCATCCCAACACCTCCTTCCTCCTACGACTCAACTGTCCCTTTCAAGAGACTTCCTTGCGCGTGCATCAGTCAACATGCAGCCTAATCAGTCACCTGCCTCAGGCGCTCCTCCCTCCTCTCTTGCAAAACGCACTACTGGTGCAGCGGGCACTTCTGCGGGTTCTCTCAACCCCACCCTTCACAACACTCGTGGCGCCGCCAAAGCTGGTCGCACACTTGCCGCTACCGAGTCCGAGACTCCGGAAGCCGGATTTTCTCTCGGAGACAAGGGCAAAGAGCGCGAAGACGCCAACTCCGACTCTACTGCACAGGCTGCTCCTGTCCCTCATACCTCCAACTCTACTGGTGATACCATTCCTTCAATCAACATTACTCCTCTCGGCGACGCTCCTGAGCCTCTTCTTCCTCAGACGCCCTCCTCTCAGATCAACTCTGCTCCACCCGCGCACACGGCTGCCGATACTACCGGGATCCCTATCTTCGACGCCAATCTCCAGGCTGCCATCGAAGCCTCCTTGCTCTCCAAATTCACTGAGATGTTGAAGGCATCACAGGCCACTGCTCCGCTTGTAGACCCGACCTCTAAGCCTCCTGGCCTCGAGAATCCAACCTACCCCGGTACAGTGCCCGTTAACGACACCCCTCAAGCTAAGCCTTTTCCTTCGTACGATGAGCTTCATGATGTCTCATGTCAGCTTAATCAGGCTAGCGAGGAACGCGACAGGGGTTGGAATTCTGTAAAGGACCTAAATACCAAGTAAGATCAATTAACCGGATGAGCAGCAAAAGTCAATGCATCACAATTCCAACCCTGGAATCATAATGCATATGTTGGTATTTGGACTTGTTAAGTACTGTTGGTATTTGGACTTGTTAACTCGCGCCCCGGGACCTGACCACTGGATCCTTACACCCTCTAAGATTGTCTTGGGTGCAGAGAGACTTACCTAAAAAAATGGGCACCTCCCCATTGATGACTCAGCTTCCCTTCAATCAAAAGAGCATCAACACCCGCTGTCAGACCAAATTACTCTTCAAGTGAACGCCAGAGATCTGTTGTAATAAATTATATGCTGCTGAAAGTGATGTGCTTCTAGGTAGAAGGGACATTAGCAACAGCTTCTCACACAAAAAGAAGTGACTGACCTTGACTATCACCAGTCAACATCTCAACTGTCTTCACCAGTGGCTCAAGGCTATCTATCCACAGCAGCAGAGCGTCAGCACATCTGAAAAAGTTTCCATTGAATCCTCCTTCTGATGATTTCTCTTGAGCCTTTGTTTCGGACGATATTTGCTTCCGTTGAGGGGAGTCTTTGGCTGGGGATTTTCATCTCGAACAATTTTAAATTTGAAACCATTTTTTGTGAGATGTGGGATCAAAAATATGTTTTTTGAAATGTTTTTGTGTCCCTGCTGGCGTCCTCATCCTTGTTTCTACTTGCTCATCCTGGTTTTGGCTACGCTTCAGCAGACGCTCGAAACTACGGATTGAGTGCAAAAGTTGCATAGGCCAGGCTGGTGCAGCACACTTATTACGCGTGGGGGGCGAGAAGTCAATGTGGGAGACATGTGGCATGCACGTTGTATGCATGTGGTATGCATGTGGCATTCCTGGCAAAAACCATTTCTAGTGATTTTTCAAAAAACAGTTTGGCCTAAAACCCGCAAACTGGTTTTTTCGTTCGCGACGTTTTTGCTGCCAGCCAAAAACGCTCAACGGAAGCAAATATCGTCCAAAACGAAAAATTGTTTCCGGCAATTCTTTGATGTTTCAAACATACTACTCACTGTGGGCAAGGGCTCCTGTAAGAGGCTTGCCTCATACCCTTCCTGATATATGACCTGTCGACCCTCTTGGTTGCGACTCCTTGTCTTGACTGTTGGACTGCATACAAGTAAGCATTGGTGGAGGGCAGCCTGTTGCGTTTGAGTGCCTTGACCCAGCAAATGAGAAGCGCTCCTGCTATGCATGCATGCAGGAGGCGGCCTGATAAAGCTGTGGGATGAAGGGCAGAAAGAACTTAAACAAATGAAAAGCGCCTCCGCTCATGTTTACGTAATGTGTAATGCCACATCATTTCAGAGTTTCGCGGAGCTCGCCGCACGCGCAGACGGGGACTTGGTGGAACGTCGACGTGGCTTCTCTTTCTTTGCCCGTCGTTGTTCCCCGTCTTTTGCCCTATTGCTGTAAAGCCTAGGTGCCTGTGTGTGTGTTCGTGAATAGTTAGGACTGACTTCTGGCCAGAGTCACCGCCCTCTTGTCTGTGTGACATTTATATGTATTTGGGGTCCTGTTTTACTTCAGGTTGCACCGCCCCCGCTCGAGCCCTCGCCGTTCTCCGCCGTTCTTCGCCGTTACCCGCCGTTCTTCCGTCCTGCTAGCCCATAGGCGAGACTGCCGCCGTTCTCCCCCCCGTCGCCGCCGCCAGTGAAGAGGAACACCACCTCTTACAGCTCCCTAAGATTTGGCGTTATGGCATCCAAAGCGATCAATAAAATCCCGACGAAGGGCTGCTGCAGCGACGCCTAAATTTCGAGGTTAGGCGCGCTTTTCCCACCCCCCAAATCTCAGCGTTAGACGCGCTAAATCAATCCCTAAAGACGGGCATCGCCGCAGCGGCGCTGAAGCATTCCCTAAATTTCGGCTGCAGAGACTCTTTAGCGGTCACTTTCATGCATTCTTAGAGATCGCTTTCTGCTTTGTCTTATGGACGTTTGACAACAAAGAACACTCCATATCCTCCCCTTTCTCTGCCTTCCTCCCGTGGGAGAAAGTCGCTAAACTATAATAATGTCGACCAGCAGCAGCGCCATGGTCCATGGACGACCTCTTCTTCCTCCATCCTCCGTCATCCTCCATACAATTAATACCTTCCCAAAGAGCTGCCTCTCGAGTCCTCCAGATTCTGTTATTTCATGAGCTCGACTAGAACGCTTCATCATGGTCAGTTCCGTGCTTCTGCCTAGCCCTCGTTCCACCACCTACAGCCTCTGCCGATCCGAATGCAACAGCATCATCACATCTCCCACTGCCTCCTCCCCTCACTCCCTTCACGTTCAAATCGTTGGTTCCCTGGCTCACAAGGGTGCACAATATAGACGTGACTCACACATCCACCAATCCTGCCCCACTCTCTCCTCACACAGTCGACGTTCTCACCACCATCTCGTCGTGTCTGAGGCATGTTGCGGAGGAAGCTCGAGCGACGGAGAGCAGTCTGAAGGCGTTGGTGAGCGACCTTGAAGACTGAGTAGGGGAGCTCGAGGATGAGAGTTGGAGGCGGCAGGTGCGAGAGGCTGCCTGGGAGGAGCGGCTGAGGCGGCTCGAGGCCGATACGAGTGGCGGGGATGGCAAGAAGAGAAAGAAGAAGAAGGAAGACCTGGACGTGAGCAAGGATGAGAGAGTGAGCATGAGGTTTCGTATACTTATGATCGTTTCGACCTACTGACATCTTGTTGTCTCAGGCCTACATGAAATATCATATGAACACCCTCATCCATCGCTTCTTCTCAGAGAGACCGGCGAAGACAGCGACGGCAATGTCCTCCGGCTTTACGCCAGCTCCGAGAGCAAGAGGTGGCACGAAACCACGGACGACGGTGTGCTGGGAGATGGTGGGGAGGAGGACGATGATGAGATGGAGGAGGACGAAGGTGAGGGCGCAGTCGAGAGCGGCCAAAGACGGAAGTCGGTGGTGTTCCGCCCCAACTGCGAGGCATTTGGAGATCCGCGGTAAGCACAGTGATCGTCTCTCGCCACACTCGACCGAGCACTTACTTGCTCTCTTCTCCGCCGAGCTAGAAACACGAATTTCAAGAAGGAGGTCTGGTTAGTTGCGCGACCCGCAACCGCCGAGACCCTCTGGCTACCTCCTTCGCCGCATCCCCCGCTCCATGCAAACCACATGCACCCACTCTCTCCTCCCTTCTGAAAGACCGGCCGAAGCTCCTAGCCAGCGTGAAGAAGACCTCCAGGGCAGTGCGATCGTTCGAGAGCTGTAAGCAGTGGGCACTGCTCACAACTTAACCATTTTCAGCCGCGTTTCGGCGATCACCGCCTTTCGCGACTTATCCATTCTTGCTCGCGTCTTGGCTATCGCCGACGCTCACGACACCACTTTCCCTTTTCTGCTCCCGTTCTATTTTCCTTGCCACTTTCGGTGTTTCGGTGTATTGTCTTTGTGTGTCTCGTTCGCGACTGCTCTTGCTCAGGGACAGGGACATCGGGCGTGTGGAACCTTTGGGTCTTTATCCATCTTTCTTTCCACTTGTCCCACATCTCCCAGTCCCTGTGCGTATCCATTCTCGTCTCTTGTGGCTAGCTTGACTGATCCTGGCCAGTGTCCGCTTCTTGTCTTTGGTTTCCCTTTCATACATATATTGACGGACTCTGTCCAGGTGAGCCTTGTTCCTCCTGTTCTTTACCCATCTTTCTTTCCACTTGTCCCACATCTCCCAGTCCCTTGTCCGCTTCTCGTCTTTGGTTTCCCTTTCGTACATATATTGACGGACTCTGTCCAGACACATGCACAAGGGGTCTTGCTTGCTTCTCGAGACAAGCACACCGTCGACTCAGTGAAGGTCTGCACGCACAGACCTTACAAGAGCACAGAGGCATTGAGGAGGATGTGGTGCGCCCAGGAGACTTGGGCAGAGGACAGGTACAAGCTGTTGCTTGATGAGGGGGATGTGGAGGCGGCGGTAAATGTCCTCACCAGCTCGGACTTTGCAGAGAGCGAGCAGGGGGACAGGGACGATGTTCACCAAGAGGACAGCGAGTCCGACGACGAGTGAGGGGCAAGTCAGGGGACAAAGCTGGGGATTGGGTTTGATGGGTCGGGGGCGGGTTGTGAGGTATTGTGCGGATACGTTCCGGGTGCGAGGGGGTGCGAGGAAAATATGAGAGGCGGTTGGGATGGTCAAGAGGGAAAGGGATGAGTTGTGCAGCGTCGAGGTCGAGGGGCTTGCGATTTGTGCAGTCACAGATGGGGGTAAGCTGTCAACATAATCACGGTAGACGACATACCAGTATGCAGATGTACATGCTTCATTGTTGGTGTAGGCCCAGTACGGTCTTGAGTGGGCAGTACGCAAAGTAGGGTTGAGAGGTCGAAGAAATACAACCTCATTAGGGTAGTTGATTTTCGGGGAGTAGTTTTCAGAGTTGTCAGTAGGTCCTTGCAGATCGGCAGCGTTGGCGCAAGTGCGGCGGTAACACCTCGCCTGTTTGTGTGGATAGGCCGGGGCCAGTGATAGTGACATAAGAAGGAGCGTCAGCAGCGGCGGCTGATATGGAGGTGGTTGCCAGTAAACGGTGGCCCAGATGCTGGAGGAGCGATATGTAGCTGGACGTGTCTATGTATGAAAATGGCCAAAATAGAGATGAGGATGATGAGGATGTTGAACGAGGAAGATGCATGACGAGGACGTGTGTGGATGATGGGACGGCCTCCACAGCGCGAAGTCGATTAGAAGGTGGTGTGACAGAGTTGTAATGGGCATTGGGATTGAGAAGCGACTATTAGAAAACGCGACTTAGTCGTCCGATGGGCCGACTTGACTCCGGTCTGATGGCAGGGGAAGAGACCGCTTCAGCACCCCTTTGGCTGAAATTTGGAGGTCTCTGCAGCAACGTTGCTGCAGAGCATCGAAAGCAAGCACTGCGGCTGCTCTGCCAGCAAAACTCAGTGATCGCTGCCAACTTGTGTGCAAAGGGACGCCAAAGTCTCTGATGCCTCCACCCTACCTTCGGAATTCAGCGATCACTTCCCGTGTTTCAGACACAGGGACACTAAATCGATCAATTTAGCATCCATGCCCGCGGAATCTATTTACCCTCTGGCCACAGTGATCCAAACCTACCTCTCCCGTGTCGCCGGCACCATTGTCTCACTCGAACCGTCCACCCAAACCGGCAGAAGGCGAAACGACCTTAGGGTACGAGGAGGAGGAGGCGCGTTAAGGAATGCAGACTACAGTTTGAAGGTGTACGGGTTGGAGGACAAGAGCGTGTACGTGGTGGGCAGTGGGAAGCCGGCAGGGATGGAGTGGATGGATTAGGTGCAGGGGAAGTTAGTGGCATGGTTGTCAAAGCGGGATGCGGAAGTGGTCAAGAAGGCGCCGAGGATCTACGGGGGGGCGCGGAATACTGCTGGACAGATATAGGGACACTGTGGGTAGGACCTGACACCCTTTTCCAAGCCTGGCACTCCAGTGTTTTCCTACCCAATCACCTGGAATCAACACTGGATATACTTGGTGATCCTCTTGAGTGTCTCCCCAAGGCAGGCCTGATTGCCACACCTTTTTGATTCCTCAAAATCTTTTCATTCCTCGTGTTTCAAATGTCCTTCTGCTCTAAGGTATGTTTGTTTTTTTTGGACAAGAAGGCCAATCAGCACAGAATGCCCAGTCAACTTCAGGAGCCTTTTGGGGTGGAATAAGACCCTTTCATAGACTTGTCCTTTTCAGAGCTTGTGTGAGCAAAGGCTTTTTTTGTCTTGGGCATTCCACAACTTTCCATCATCATGTTTGGGCAGATATGGTGTGCTGCATACATGCTGACATGTCATATAGTATCATATATACAAGTGCAGATATGAAATCATATATAGATTTCAGCAAGTTTGGTGATAGAAAATGTGACATAACAGCATGACCATACATTATGTACTCTCAAAAAGGAATTAATACAGTGCATATGGAATTTACTGTACATCGATTATCTGTTTTTGGTACTGTGACATGTCGTTTGGGCTGCTGAATTCAACTGGCCTGGTCCAATGCATGCATGCAGTAATGAAAAATCCTGAAATCATGGCTCAAAGTACGCGTCAAAAAGTACCCCGTGTCTGGTGACAGATGTACAGAGCCAAGTGGCAGACATCTGTGTGTCCCAGGGCCGTCCTGAGTCTTGTGTGGCAGCCTGCACCATGTCTGTTAATGTTTTTGGAGATGCACATCATTTAGCATGTTTTGGACCCTGAATCCCTCATATCCCTTCTTCCAAACCTGTCCAGACTGCCTCTCGGCAATGTGTGACCTTTTTGGGCTCAAAATTTGAGAGTCATCACTTGCAGGTCTGCTGAACAGGTTCAAGAAGTATTGAAGGATTTGGTACATAGATGGCCAAATTGTAGGTCACTGAAAGAGGCCTCTGTACGCTGTGTTCCTGGAAAGTCCGGTGTTTCAAGCCCAGTATCTATGCATCCTGAGACCATAATCAGCTAATCTTCTGGAATATACTTCTGGTATATAAGAATAAACATGCAGGTTTTTTTTGCGCTTGATGACATTAAATTCCGTACACACTGTACATTCACTGTGGCCAGAGGGTAAATAGATTCCGCGGGCATGGATGCTAAATTGATCGATTTAGCGTCCCTGTGTCTGAAACGCGGGAAGTGATCGCTGAATTCCGAAGGTAGGGTGGAGGCATCGGAGACTTTGGCGTCCCTTTGCACACAAGTTGGCAGCGATCGCTGAGTTTTGATGGCAGAGAAGCCGCAGTGCTTGCTGTAGATGCCCTGCAGCAACGTTGCTGCAGAGACCTCTAAATTTCAGCGACAGGGAAGCTGAAGCGGTCTCTTCCCCTCCCATGAGACCCGAGTCCAGTCGGCCCGTCGGGCGACGAAGTCGCGTTTTCTAATAGTCGCTTCTCAATCCCAATGCCCATTACAACTCTGTCACGCCACCTTCTAATCGACTTCGCGCGGTGGAGGCCGTCCCATCATCCACTTGTCATCCACGCACGTCCTTGTCATGCATCTTCCTCGTTCAACATGCTCATCATCCTCATCTCTATTTTCCCCATCTCCATACATAGACACGTCCAGCTACATATGGCTCCTCCAGCATCTGGGCCACCCTTTACTGGCAACCACCTCCGTATCCGCCGCCGCTGCCGACGCTCTTCGCAGTCCGCTCAGCAGCAGAAGAGGCTACCCCACTCTATCACGTCTTCGGCATAAATCATTCCTTCTCAACCCCACATCTCTACTTTACGCTAGCTCATAGCATTCCTGCCATGCCCGCGACCCAGAAGAACACCAAAAAGAATGACTTCTATGAGCATTTTGCCGCTGCGGGCTTCGATCTCGATCGCCTGAACCAGGGGAAGATTGCTGTGAGTTTTCTCGCCTTCGCTGCCTTGAAATCACTGACAATTGCGTGTTGTAGGGCTGTGGTATCAATAGGAAAGGGCTTTGCGGATGCACAGAGAGGTGCCATGGATCCCGCGTGTACGTCTGCGGTGATACATTTCGCCAGCACATGAACGCGGGCGCCAGTCGGCCCTACCCCAAACCACGTCCCCCAGCCCCAGTAAAACCTCATGGCCAGCCTCCTTCCTCTTCCTCCTTTGTACCTCCTCTCCGGCAGTTTCGCCAACCCGTCATCACCTATGGCAAATCGCCTGCAGAACGGGCATATCATGTGGAAGTGGTGAGCAAAGTCATCAGTGCTTCTTAACTCGTAGAGCTGACCGATACGGCTTCTAGGCGAGTACAACCCACGTTACTGCACAGACGAATGAAGCTCAAGAGCTGTCAGAGCTGTCAGAGCTGTCGGATTGGGACAGCAGCGACTGGGGCGACGGCGACTGCGGCGACTGGGACGGCGGCGACTGGGACGGCGGCCACTGGGACGGCGGCCACTGGGACGGCAGCGACTGGGACGGCAGCGACTGGGACGGCAGCGACTGGGACGGCAGCGACTGGGACGATGGGCTAGGATTCAGCGAGAACTACGGCCATGACGCGATGCAGGATATGGATAACACGTTGGTACATAATCCCCGTATCAAGACCTGACATCCCTTGCTGACGCTACACCTAGCCTGATGCCTCTCAAGCGACGGTATCATCTAATGGCTTAAGACCACGCCAATCCCCTTCATCTCCATCGCCATCCTCCCCTCCCCCTCCCACCCAACCTCTTCCACAATCCTCTCCCCACATCGACCCTCTTCTTATCACACGTATTCGTGACCTCCGACGAGTCGTGGATGACGATGACCTCATCCTCTCCTATCCTCACGATCTCCCCACCTACCTGCTGCACCCGTTTGGGTCTGGTGACCAGCCAAACCCATTCGCTTCCGTGCCCAGCCCGACGCCAGCATCACTCGGCGGCGTCGAGCGTGCAGTGTACACGCTGGCGCACCATCTTTCGGGGCTGTACCATCTGTCGAGGAGGGGGGTGGGGCTGCTACTCAAGGGCATCGACGTCATCACTCGCATGAGTAACGCGGTGCAATTCCAGAGGTTTCAGTCGTAGTACCTCTTGAAACACCCCGACGCCGACGAGGGTACCAAAGAGGAGCTGGCTCAACTTGGCGCCACCAGAACTTTCGAACCCATCGCCAAGACCCTCACCACCGTTCTGAAACGACTTGATGTTGATCTCACACTCGTGATTCACCCTCAGTGCAGCAACTCAGAGTGCAGCTGGGTGTTCTACAACATCGTCGGAGGGGCATCCGCAGCAGAGAGCGAGCTTCCCACCTCTTGTCCCTCCTGCAAGGAGTCTCTCTGGGACCCGTTGGGCAAGCCCAGTGTTGTCTACTTCGGGCGAAGGAACCTCCGTGATGAGCTTGAGCACGTTCTGTCGGTACCAGGCATCGAGGATGCCATATCGAAGGCGTCTGCAAGGAAGGAGCTGAGGGATCAGGAGGACTTGCAGTCATGTGGACAGCGTATTCTTCGCTTGCCGAATGATGGGGCATTGTGGAAGGAAAGGTGGGGTGTGTATGAGGAGGTAGATGGAGCGCTGGTGGTCACGGTGGCTCTGGGTATCGACTGGGCCAACAGAAGCTCAACTCGGTCTGCAGCATCGGGCAGCATTGGGCCTATCACGATGATGCTGTCAGATATCCCAGTCCAAGCTCGCTCGATGATGCTCTGCACTATGCTCCTAGGCCTCACTCCTGGGCCCAAGGAGCCCAAAGCCCGGAACCTTCACCACCACATTCTGCCTTTGGCACTGGAGCTACGGACGGCGGGGGAGCATGGGCTGTGGGTGAGGACACCAGCTTTTCCTCAAGGTGAGCATGATGTCGGTTTGCATATACAGAACCATACTGATCATTGTACGCCATATAGGTCGCCGAGTTCAAGTGCTGCTTGGTACGATCACATGCGACCGACCTGCCGGCGGGGCTTTGTGTGGATGCGGGCACCATACGTCTCATCCCTGCATCCATTGCACAGCACAGTTCGAAGACATCGCCCAGCTGGACATCCACCCACCGCGTGATTTTGTCGCGGACCAGCGTGCCAAGGCCCAGGAGGCGGCGCAATGGCCTTCAATACTTCGGGAGGCTATCGAAGACTTTGACAGCCGGGATGCTGAGAGAGTGTCGGACGAGAAGCGGCGTGGAAAGACGAGAGTCAAGAGGCGCACGTTCACCAAGGCCATGACCAAGAAGCTCAAAAATGAGGTGTGTCCTACCCCAGGACATTTCTCCGCCCTCTCTTTGATTCCTGGCTTGAATGCCATCGCCCGCACTCCTCTCGACACCCTCCACCTGCTCCACGAGGGTATCACCAAAGCGTACATGTTCAACATTGCCGCCATGGGCCAGTACGCCTTGAAGAAGAGCCCGGAAGAAGCAGCGGGGAGACAGCCTAGTTCAGGCGCCGAAGATGACACCCAAGTGGGCGCCGGCATGGATGGAAATGTGCAGCAAGGGGGCGTTGACGAGATCGGCAGTGGGTCTGAGATCAACATCGACCTGTCACAGCTGGTCGTGCAGCAGCTCGACGAGTCGGATTTGCTCGTGCCGGGGGAGGAGGACGAGCAGCCGGTGGAAATGGACGAAGAAGAGTCTGAGTTTGAGGTGCAGAGCCAGCCATCAATGAGGGGTGGCAAGCGAAAACAGACGGGCAAGCGGACGGCCAAGCGCAAAACCAGGGCGAGATCCAAGGCTCAACCAAAATCCGTCCCCGACCAATTGCTCCGACCGAAAGATCTTTATCGTATGAACAAGTTCTTCCGCATGGTGACCACCCCCTCGTTCGTCGAACGGCTTCACCGAAGCTTCGGACTCCCGGCTGCCGGTACTCCTTCAGGCAGTAGCTGGAGGAGATTCGCCTTTTACTTCGCCCCTCTCACCTTCCCCTTCATGTGGGCGGATGCTGCCTCCTTCCGACACAAGAAATCCCCCCCTGCAGCGGAATTGGAGGCCATGATGCGCAACTTTGAGCTCACTATTCTGGCCTCCCGCTCTGACTTGTCTCGAGATCAGACTGTCCGGCTAGATGATCTCATTAGAGAGTTCCTCGAGCTTGTCTTTTCGCTTCACCCTGACATCATCGCCCGCTCCAATTTTCATGTGCTCACTCACATGGGTCAACACATTCGAGATCATGGCACTGTCCACAATACATGGACATTTCCCATTGAGCGTCTGAACCATCTGTTGAAGATGATCAGGACTAGTGGGGGGAGCGTGACTAGGGATGCGGACATATTGAGAGGGTTTCTGAGGGTGCGCTCCGTGGCGCAGTCATCGCTGAAGGCGATCACAACGGTTGAGGGGGAGGAAGGGTATCAGACGGAGGAAATTCTGGCAATGGAGAGGGAGACCGATGAGTTCTCTGCCCTCGTGAAGCAAGTCATGAAGGGTGGTGTGGGGATCTCTTTGCAGGACGTTGGAGCGCGGTATGGCGAGGACGATGCTGGTCTCCCCACTCTGCTGAGAGAGGACGAAATCGGTGTCATGCCGATGTCGTTTCCTCGGGCCGGTTCGAGGACGACTCTCACTCCAAAGCATCGTCACCTGCTTCACCAATATCTATGGCTCTCTGGCGAGAGAACTCGTCTCTTGGAGTCGGAGACGGACCCGACGAGGAGTTTATATCCCATGGCGCCTCAGGTGGCCGATTACCAGCAGTTGGTGGTGTGGGTGGGGCGCAGTTTCGTGCCGGGAGAAAAGGCGGCGAATGGCGGTCCAAGGGAGGTGCCTGCAGAGCAAATGGAGTTGACGTTGGAGAACCTGAGAAGATGGAGGGATTCGATCTTCGAGCTGTGTCCTCGCGAGCTGCGCTACTCCCTGGAGGATGGGCCAGCCAACGACACCGGTGTCCTCACCAGTATCTTCACCGTTGTGCTCAACACCAATGATCATATGGCGTCTGCCCCCAGGACCTTCGCAGTGGCTCACTTCTTTGAGCCCTCTTCTGAGCCGGACGTGTATGGATACGACTCTCGGTGAGTCCTGTTGCGTCTACATACATGAGTGACACTGATGTGAAGGCTGCTACAGACAACATATACGTTTAGGGCGATGGAACGAGCGCCTCTCCAAGCCCCGGCTCATCAAGCTGGACAACAATACCCGGGAGGGGATGCACCACGTCGCAACGATGAGGGTCCCCAAGAAGCATGGCCGGCCTAGGGAGGGGCACTTCATCGTCACGCGCCCCGTAGACACCGTGAGTTCAACCCCTGTTTATGATTGCGGCTGGTGAGCTTTCGCTGACGGTGCTTGTATCCCGGTTTCAGCACATGTAGCTCCTGTTCCGTACCGCTTCTTATGTCACTATCACTGGCCCCGGCCTATCCACACGAACTGGCGAGGTGTTACCGCCGCACTTGCGCCAACGCTGCCGATCTGCAAGGACCTACTGACAACTCTGAAAACTACTCCCCAAAAATCAACTACCCTAATGAGGTCGTATTTCTTCGACCTCTCAACCCTACTTTGCGTACTGCCCGCTCAAGACCGTACTGGGCCTACACCAACAATGAAGCATGTACATCTGCATACTGGTATGTTGTCTACCGTGATTATGTTGACAGCTTACCCCCATCTGTGACTGCACAAATCGCAAGCCCCTCGACCTCGACGCTGCACAACTCATCCCTTTCCCTCTTGACCATCTCAACCGCCTCTCGTCTTTCCCTCGCACCCCCTCGCACCCGGAACGTATCCTCACAATACCTCACAACCCGCCCCCGACCCATCAAACCCGATCCCTAGCCTTGTCACCTCACTTGCCCCTCACTCGTCGTCGGACTCACTGTCCTCTTCGTGAACATTGTCCCCGTCCCCCTGCTCGCTCTCTGCAAAGTCCGAGCTGGAGAGGTCATTGACCGCCGCCTCCACATCCCCCTCATCAAGCAACAGCTTGTACCTCTCCTCTGACCAAGTCTCCCGGGCGCACCACATCCTCCTCAATGCCTCCGTGCTCTCGAACGGACGCACTGCCCTGGAGGACTTCTCCACGCTGGCTTGGAGCTTCGGCCGGTCTTTGATAAGGGAGGAGAGAGTGGGCGCGTGTGGATCAGATGGAGCGGGGGATGCGGCGAAGGGGGTAGCGTGAGGGTCTCGGCGGTTGCGGGCCGCGCGACTAACCAGGACCTCGAAGACATCCGCCGACGGCTCCCGCTTTTCGAACGTGAGTTCAAAGCCCTGGACGTGGTCTTGTGGCGCGATGACCACACGTCTGGGCCTTTGGGTGCCTGTACGGTCAGCAAGCATGGTCAGTTGCTCTTGGTACAACGTAAACCATATTCGCCTCGCCTGTTCAGTAGGGTCAGCGGTGAGTCTGGTTTGGGGATTCATGGCACACACTCACCAATTTCGACCACCATCCCGGGATTATGACCATGTAGCGCTGCTTGGCCGCATCCACCAACAACCTCCCCTCCGTCATCTCAGCATATAAGACAAATTCGTCAAAGCCGTGTGGATCGGTTGTGCTGAAGCTCGGATCTTCCCCGTGGGCTACGAGGACCGGGTTCAACATCCCGCCCTCGATGGCTTCGCGGATTAGGTTGTACTCTCGAGACTTGGCGACAACGGACTCGGCCTGATTGAGTATTTGCACTTGACGGCGTTGCATCTGCGCAAGCACATCAGTAAGCAGCCGAGGGCTCTACAATATACAGAACAGAAACTCACGCCCTTCACTCTTGTACGACAGGCATTCCTGCGTTTCGTCATCAAGCTCAGGTCGGCATCTTTGTATTGCCGAACCCCCTCCGCCGCATACTTGAATTGCTTCTTGACCTCATTGGTGATGGCGGCGGTGGTCAGCCGGGGGCAGTCTTTCTTGCAGCGAGCGATGACCTCCTTCTTGAAATTCGTGTTCCTAGCTCGGCGGAGAAGAGAGCAAGTAAGTGCTCGGTCGAGTGTGGCGAGAGACGATCACTGTGCTTACCGCAGATCCTTAAATGCCTCCCAGTTGGGGCGGAACACCACCGACTCGCCTTCGTCCTCCTCCATCTCATCATCATCGTCCTCCTCCCCACCATCTCCCAGCACACCGTCGTCCGTGGTTTCGGGCCACCTCTTGAGCTCGGAGTTGATGTGAAGCCGGATGACACTGCCGTCCGTGTTTTCGACGGTCTCTGAGAAGAAGCGATGGATGAGGGTGTTCATATGATATTTCACGTAGGCCTGAGACAACCAGATGTCAGTAGGTCGAATCGATCATAAGTATACGAAACCGCATGCTCACTCTCTCATCCTTGCTCACGTCCAGGTCTTCCTTATTCTTCTTCCTCTTCTTGCCATCCCCGCCACTCGTATCGGCCTCCTCGAGCCGCCTCAGCCGCTCCTCCCAGGCAGCCTCTCGCCTCAGCCGCTCCTCCCAGGCAGCCTCTCGCCCCTGCCGCATCCGACTCTCATCCTCGAGCTCCCCTACTCGGTCTTCAAGGTCGCTCACCAACGCCTTCAGACTGCTCTCCGTCGCTCGAGCTTCCTCCGCGACATGCCTCAGACACGACGAGATGGTGGTGAGAACGTCGACTGTGTGAGGAGAGAGCGGGGCAGGATTGGTAGATGTATGAGTCACGATCATATTGTGCACCCTTGTGAGCCAAGGAACCAACGATTTGAACGTGTAGGGAGTGGGGGGAGGAGGCAGTGGGAGATGTGATGATGCTGTTGCATTCGGATCGGCAGAGGCCGTAGGTGGTGGAACGAGGGCCTGGACGGCAGCGTAGATGCCGGCAAGAGACTCTCTGAAGCCGTCCGGGCTTTGATTGGGCAAAGCAGGCGGAAGAAGGAGAGGTGAAGGGCCGTCCTGTATAATCGACGCGAGGGAGCCGTTCCGAGTGAGTACCTGTGACGAACCCCGTGAGTGAGTGTCCATCAAATTCGGGCTAGGCAGAAGCGAGTTCCAAAAGTACTTGTGGCTGATGATAGACCATAGTAACCCCGTCTTCCCTCCCGGTATGCTCTTTTACATGGGTAGCAAGAAACGGAACTGACCATGATGAAGCGTTCTAGTCGAGCTGATGAAATAGCAGAATCTGGATCGAGAGGCAGCTCTTTGGGAAGGTATTAATTGTATGGAGGAGGACGGCGGAGGATGGACTCCATGGCGCTGCTGCTGGTCGACATTATTATAGTTTAGCGACTTTCTCCCGCGGGAGGAAGGCAGAGAAAGGGGAGGATATGGGGTGTTCTTTGTTGTCAAACGTCCATAAGACAAAGCAGAAAGCGATCTCTAAGAATGCATGAAAGTGACCGCTAAAGAGTCTCTGCAGCCGAAATTTAGGGAATGCTTCAGCGCCGCTGCCGCGATGCCGTCTTCAGGGATCGATTTGTCGCGTCTAACGCTGAGATTTGGGGGGTGGGAAAAGCGCGCCTAACCTCGAAATTTAGGCGTCGCTGCAGCAGCCCTTTGTCGGGATTTTAGTGATCGCTTTCGACGCCATAACGCCAAATCTTAGGGGGCCCTTGCCCACAGTGATTGTGATATGTATAGACATGTCAGAGCAAATTGGGAGGAGTACTAAGACAGTTTGTGCTGAGACAAGAATATAACTGGTTGCTTTAGAAGACACTGATTCATAGAAAGCAAGTTTGTAGAAGTACTGGCAATATAAGAATGATATGGACAGTGGAGCAATTGTGCTAGCGTCCAGCGGGATCAATTCCTTTTGGCGCATGCATGACATTATTCATCCTATTCCAAAAGACCACATGGCTGTGTAATGGCCTTGCATGCCGCCCATCACAACCCATCTTACATAACCTAGTTTGGGTACCGTTGCACGCGGAGACCTCCACCACACCTCCACTTTACAAGACCGCTTGTGTGTGTAGCAAATCACCACCTTTGTGACAAGACATAGTTGGTCCTCCGCATGTCAGACCAACTAGTTATGTAACACTGGTTAAATGAAGGCTGCCGCCCATGTCCTCTGTACCAACTCAGTACTTGTGTCACGACCAGTTTTAGTTAGACTTAACACCTGAAACTGGATGGAAGAAGGTTGTTTACTTGCAGTGGGTCAAAGTCAGCTGAAACCAACACTTGTCAACAAATAGTATCTGTATGCTTGGGATAATCTAGCAAGCAAGGAGGTATGACAAGAGCTCAAGAATGGAATGGACAGTGGGGTGATTGTGCTCAAGTCTTTGTTAGGTGACTTATTAAAAGTTGATCTCTGAGGAGAAGACCAAGGACGGGGCCCATATCCCCTCCTTATATATGTATGGAAAGCAACCTGTTAGGTGGCAAGTTGCATGGGAGTCGCATGCAAGTTGATGTGAGTCTTGTGCAAGTCAATAAGAGTCACATCAGAGTAGCATGAAGGTTGCATGAGGGTCACATGAGGGCCTTGTGCAAGTTGATGAGAGTGACATGAGAGTAGCATGTGAGTCAAAGAGAATCTCTCACAAATCACTGAGACTCGTCTGCAAGTCCTTATCGTACCCTCTGTGTATAGGTAAAGTGGTAGTCGCGAATTTTCTGTGAATTTCAGTTTGCCCCGCATTTCGTCAAATGCGTCTATGACCTCATATACATTTCGATCAGCCATATATCCTTTCACAACATAGCTATGCATGCACTCTCTTTTACCACTTGACTCTACTGCCATGACTGTGCACGCCTCACCATCTAAACGACGCCAATATGCTGCGGATGGCAACAGATACGGCAATACACAAGCCGGTCGCATCCACGGAGTTGCCAAAAGTACCATACGCCTCGCCCGCAAAGATGTGGAGGAGCGGGGCACTACAAGGGCCCACAAGCACACCGGCCGAAAGAAGAGCATCGACTCTCGTACCTCCCGCCAGTGATGGCTACTTTAGGCTTTTTAGGGGGTCACCTTAATAGGGTGTTTTGGGCCGACATATTAAGGTCTAAATTACGGCGTAATATATATGGTAGTCGGTGGTAGTTGGGTTACGTAAAGATGATGAGGCTGCTGGTGGGGGGAGCGGTGTTGCGCTGTTGATTCCTACAAGTCTGCCCGCGCACACAACGTTCAAGCTCATTGCAAGTACATGATCTTTGTCTATTGGAGCGTCTACTGCTGGACTACCCGTATAAGATGAACACCTTCATGCTAAGAACGCCCCGTCCAGGTTCATCTCCTCGTCCTGCTCCTCGTCGCTCTTGTCTTTCTCCCCAGTTTCACTGCCGTCCTCATCCTCGTCCTCACTGACCTCAACGACCTCTATCGTGTCCTCCAAGATCTCCTTCTTCGCCTTGACACAGGCCTTACAGAATGCATTGTGGTGGGATTTGTTCTTCATGACAAAGAGACTGACCTCCCCCGTGCGATCTGTGGCTGGCTCAATGACGATAGATGTTTTGACACCTTCGAGCCTGTGAAAATGCCCCCACTCGGACTTGGAGACGGGTCTACCGGCTGTGATAGTGGACATTTTGTGTTACGTAGGGAGAATAGACGGTGAATGCCTCAGATAACGCCTCTTGCGCCTCTTTCGGCGTCCCCCCGACTCTGGCCGCCCTAAAGCACCGTTGGCAATTATTACGACTTTTTAAGGTCCATTTTCTGCCCCGACTTATTAAGCTAATCGTAATATACCTTAATAGAGCAAATCCGTAAACTGATTAATAGAGTTTTGCCATCACTGCCTCCCGCCGACTCAACCGCCTGCTTCGTATACACAGGTGGACTCCGGTCACAAAACTTCCCAGCCTTGCGGCTGCCAGTGGAATCGAAAACTCCCTGACTACCTTGAAGAAGTTTATGGCCGTCAATGGGTTTGCTCAAAGGAAAGTGGTGTATAAACCTTTCCTAAAGAAGCAGCACAGGCGTACCCGCTACTCGTACGCTCTTGCCCACCAAAACATCGACTTTCAAAAGGGAATCTATGTCGACGAGGCAATCGTCAGAGCCGATGGGACCCATGTGACTTGGGTCACCAGGAAAGAGGGAGAGGCATTGTGGTTGGAGAATTTGAGGCCTGCATTTGGGCAGTCTGTGGTCTCCATTATGGTTTGGGGAGCCATCTACCACGGCAGGAGGTCAGAGCTGGTCGTTTTTGACACCAGCAAAAGCACGGGCAAGTGGGGCGGTGTCACTGCTCAGCTCTACCAAGAGCAGATCGTGAATAAACACCTCAAAACCTCTGGGAGTCTGCAAAATCGCGTGTGGATGGTGAGCAGGGCCCCTTCATCCTAGAGGATAATGCTCGGGTTCATACAGCCAAGGTGGCGCGAGGAGCAGGCCATGCAAACGGCTTCTCCTATATTCCCCACCCTGCTTGCTCTCCCGATCTCAATCTGATCGAAAATTGCTGGAAGCTCCTCAAAGAGAGGATCAGGGCTCGTGGGAGAAGGGCGACTACCACCGAAGAACTTACCAGGGTGGCCAAGGAAGCCTGGCAGGAGATATCACAGGAGAGCATCGAGGCATGCATCGAGAGCATGCCAACCAGAATGAAGGAAGTGATAAAGGGGCGAGGTGGGCATACCAAGTATTGATTAAAGAGCTTCTACCTATGTATTTCCAATACAGGAGATTCTCATCGTTGTCCTCATCAAATCTGATATGCATAGGTGTGATACAGCGTTATATGTAGTGGTTTGAAATATACACCCCGAGCTGCATCAATGCGGCGGAGGCTGAAATTCACAGAAAATTCGCGACTACCACCTGTACAGCAGTGACAAGAGACAGATCAAAGTTATACATTGTTTGGCCTAATAAGTGGTTCACATTTGAGATAGGAGGTTGGTAAGGTAGTGTACTTTAGGCTAGGAGGGAGGAAGGTAGTAAGAAGAAAAGGAAGTGCAAGAATCTGATGTAGAGGTTATAGGCTCTACATTGGGTTGCCTTATATACATTGCTATATCTAAGTGCACAGACATGGTATGTACAGATAAACGAGATCATATACAAATACCGGAACAGGCTATCTGGGATATGTTGTGATTGGCAATGGAAGGTTTTGGCAAGGACAAAGGTCTCAGCAGAGAACAATAAGGAAAACAACGAGTCTCAGCAGAGCCGTGTGCGGTGTCGGGTGCCGGAGATGCTGGGGCTTGGGACTAAGTGGGGGTACAACGCAAGGGAGAGGGCTGACAGTGGTTGAGTGAGGTTTCATTACAACTATTTCATCATATACTTTGAGAGTATTTTAATATGTTATCACATTTACTGTTACACTGGTTCAGCAGCTTATTTGGCAGCTCTCGTCATGCTGAACAATCAAGAGGAATGCTGAATCAGCATGGTAGCAAATCCAGAAAATGCTCAGTAATCATTGATGGACTGAAATGTATAAAAGGACGTCATCCGTAGCTCTTTCGGACGCTTTTCATCAATGAATATTCAGTGACAACTTAACTACCAACTCAGGACTTCTCAAACTTGAGCCAGGCTTTTCAGACAAAGCCCAAAATGTCACAGAGCTTTTGGGTGGTTTGGCCATGTACCATCATGTTGGAGGGGTTTTCAAACTAAGAAAGTGTTTGGAGTGGTCTTGGGCACTTTTGACAGGTCCCAATGCATCACAAAAGGGGCTCAAACAAGGTGTCGCTCCCACTGATGAAGGCCGGACACCTATTGTTCTCTGTCTTGACTCCATGGACTATCTTTCTACCTTTAAACTTCTCTTACACTATACTTCTTTCCCGGCTCAAAGTCAGCCCGGATTTCCTAACATATAATTGCCACGCACAGTCTGCTAATTCCTTGAATCCTTCTCAACCATTGACTACTATCATTAGGTCCTTCACAAACTGTTTACTATTATCCTTAGACTCTTCTCAATTGATTCTTGATCCAACTACCATTTATGTCCTGGAACATAACCAAGTGGATAGCTAGTCCCTGAATGACAGATGGTCACTTCTTTCATGTACATAAGGAAGCCTGAGTGCTGGGACTGAAATCTCTTCTCATGAACATCTCTTCTCCACCCTCCACCACCCTCCACCAGCCTCTCTTCATCCCTCTCTCTTCATCCCTCTCTCTTCATCCCTCTCTCTTCATCCCTTGCAAAATCACTACTCTCAACTCTTGCTTCCAAACACAATCTTGTTGTTTGTCTAGACACCTGGACTAAGACTCCATTACACTTGGTGTTACTACAGCTGTCTCTATTCAGCAGGCCTGATCACCACAGGGGTGTGTAGAGTGCTAGGTGCCTGCATGCCCCATGGACTCTTTTACCCTTGCCTGCCTCTGTCTTCGTCTCCGTCTTCACTATTGTTACTCGTTCTCATTCTATTCCTCTCTTCTAGTAAGGCTGTCCGACATACATCGACATGCCCATATTTGCTACCCTGACTTCTTCCACCCGTCTCCTCTTCCTTATTGTCTTTAGCCTTTTCGTACATTTTGCTGGTCGACTTGTACCCTTATTCACTTTGTGCCGTAGATGTATCATGTAGTCGCTCCATCTATTGTCTTGTCACTTATTCATGTATACAAGAAAGGCTGGGTGTTGGGACAGACTTCAAACCACATTCTTTGACTCTCTTCTCTCCCTTCCTCTTCTTCCTTTACCTCTACACTTCCTCTCAAGACCTCATCCAAGCACATCCGTGTCTTCCCCTTCAAGTACTTGGACTCGACCCGCAACTACACTTGGTGTTTACTACAGCTGTCTCCCCAGAGCAGGTCTGATCACCACAGGGTGCATAGTGTCAGTTTGTAAAAAATGCAACTGCAAAGAAACAATCAATCACTTGGACCTCTTAGTACTGCAAAAGGTCACCATTCCAGCCTGGCTGGAACAGTATTTGCAGCTTATGTACAATGCAATGGTGGATCCATAGCTCCGTCACACAGTTGATAGTTTTCAGGTGCACTCACAAGGAGGGTCAAAGAAACAAATGCAGCAAAGCTGTCATCAACTCTACTTGGAAACCAGTAAAATGTTACATAGCACAATCAGTATGGGCTGTTGACAATGTCATTGTGAGATTGCCTCAACTTCTTGACTGGAGTTGATAATGAGGCAGAGGGTCCAGGAGCAAGAGAAGACCGAGATGGCTACACCAGACATAGTCAATCAGTATACACACATAGCTCAGGGGAAAGTTGTAGATACCTTGGCAAGTTCTTTCTTGTTAGCCATCAGCACATTATGTTCAAGAGCAACAATGATGTTCTTGTCTGCGCCAAATTTGAAGTTGTCAGCAACAACATGGGAGTCATATCGCTACATGGCATAAGCAGATGATCAGGAGGACAATATGTGATGATGGCATACCTTGATTTGATAATCATCAACACGGCCCTGCTTCAGGCGGCGGAAATTCCCTGCAGAAGAATATAAATTAGTGTCCATCATCTTGACTTCATAAAAGCATACAGGTTATGACATATTTGCCAGTAGAAGTCACAATAGCCTTCTCAGCTTCATTCAAGCCAGTATTGAACCTTAGGCTGCTGTCAGCTGACCTTGTGTTACACATTTGTATGGAAAGCTTGCCTGGCAGGTGTAAAAGACACAGGCTCATCCATGTAAGCAGTGTGTTCTGATTTGAGTTGAAGACGCCTAGGGATTGGCTTGCTGTCTGCTGGGAAACTTCTGTCAAACCCAAGAGAACCCTGATAGCGTCCATCACCAATGAGGGTGTCAATGAGAAGCAGATATGTCTTGCAGGTTGCCACAAGCCAGCGACCATCAGCTGAGACATCAACTCCGATGATGGGGTCACCAAGAGCTGGCAAAGCAGTCTGGACAAATCAGATCATGAGCATGGTCATCCAATGTGCAGCTGTGACTACTCACCTTGGCATTTTTCCCAATTGAATCAAACAGCCGCAGATCACCCTTGTTGCTTGCAACAACAAGCTTTCCAGACTCTGTTGTAGTGGCAGCAGAGAAGTCGTTTTTGCTTGCATATTGCTTGAACTGGCTTTCTACAAGCTTGTTGCCTGACACTCGAGGATCTATGCGGAAGATGCTGTTGTGCGCTGAAGACAAAATTCTGTGAGCCTTCAAGATCATGTCCACATGCAATAGACTCACAGTGGCCAAGCAATGTTTGCTGAGGGTTCATTTGGGCATACTTGGTACTAAACAGATGTCAGACACACAAAACAATTGCTTGCAAGAGCGGTTGGACTTACTCAGGGACAATGTTGTCTACGTCAATGGTGTCTGCCACCTTCCACTCATCAACAACCTTGCCATATTCCAAATCCATGCGATACACAGCATTCTTGTTATTGGGGTCAAGAAGGAGCATGTTGGCATCTTGATTGTGGAGCATCATCTGCAAATATTAATGTCAATTCAGATACAATGACATGAAAGATTTTACACACCTTATGAGGAGAGAAAGCTTTACCACCAGTAGTCCGCAATCGATCTATAGCAGTCCTAAATTTCAATCGATCACCATCATGGGAGAATACACCGATCATATCGCCTCTAGTGACAAAGGACATATCATCCTTGTAGCCAACAGTGAGATGCTGATTCTTAGATCCCTTGGCGTACAGCCCCTCTCCCTCTGACTGTGACACCTCTTCTTCATCCTCTGTTGTGTCACCCTCCTCTTCATCCTCTTCATCCTCATCTTCATCTACTCCATCTTCCTCCTCTGCCATCTCAACGTCCTCATAGGCTTCTTGAATGTACCTCTGTTCGACAGGCTTTGCTTTTGCATACTTGGTTTTGTTCTTGCCTTCCCACATATAGATGGTAAATTTGTCTTTCCACTCATCAAAGACGTCTTCTTTGAAGCGAAGACACCAGGTCATGGCGGGAAGGCCGTTTGACTCCCCAAACGTGAACATGAACGCACGGTTATTCTGGAATCCAAAACGTCAGCATGGAGTTGTGTTATAAATTACATTACTCACCATGTCAAAACGAGCGTTCAATTCGACATCAATTGGAGCGGATATGTATGGTGTAGTGCCGTGTTTGACAATAAGCCATGCTGTAAGGAACATATGAGCCTCCCTTCTGAGGTGAGAGATTGAATGAGGAAACACTCACTATCGTATTCGTTGTTCTCGGCCATATCCGCGCTCACGTGGGCCTCTTGGATGACGAAAACATCCGCCTCGGTATCGAACAAGTACAGTTCAGCTTGGGCACGATGAAGGATAGGAACACCTTGAAAAGGGTCATCCTGCACTGCTAAAGCTGACAGCTGATCTTCAATGCCGGCAGTTTCGGCGACTCCTGAGGGCTCGACTGTATCGGCACCCGCTGAAATCCGTTTGATTGATGGTCGTCCCGAATACTTGAGCGCTTGAAGTTGTTGGTCTGTAGCCTCTTCGTGTGATCTGGAATATTTCTGGATTGACATGTCAGCTGAAGCCACCAGGCAGAGCTTCTAAACCATACGCACCCTTTCAAACATGCAATGAAGAAGGGTCAACTCGAAGAGCGAATTTGTGGCTTTCGGCACCGACTATGGTGTTGATGTCAGAACACGCTCTGATATAGCTGGTCTTAACGTACCTTGCTGCTGACGAATTCCCAAAGATCACCGTCTTCACCACTAAGGTCGTTCCAAGAACAGCTCGGATCGCCGTCTAATGCTCCAAATCGAAATTGGAGTGCTTCGTCGACTAGGAATACACGCTCGTCATCGGCTGGAGAAATGACTTTGTTAATTGTGCAATTGATTTGAGGCATGTGCACGTACTCTCCGCATCGTCATCCAGCAGCTGTTCCTCCCCCTCTTCGTACGCGCGAGTGATCACTAATTGATACTGAAAATCTACGCCGGTCCGTCTGATTGTGGCAACAGCATCTTGGAAGCTTGGACAACGAGGATCAGCATGGCACTATTGAGAGACCGCATATCATAGACGTACATGCACTCCCTTGATCCCTTGATGCTATCGGGGCGAACAAGGTAGAGTTGACCGGCGGGAATTTGTATGAGCTCTGGATTGGCGGGATTACCCCACATCTTGCCGAGTACTATGCGTACGTGAGCTTCCATATGCTCCGGAGAGAGCAAGGGCTTACGCGACTTGAGGACAAACATGGTTGCGAGCGGTGGAAAGTGACGGTTGTCTGTCGTGTGAACAGGACGTGACTCTTCTGCATGTTTATCTTGTGCGCGGTGGCGACTGGCGGCGGGGCCCGCCGGTGGATCTATGTTACATAATCACGAGGCCGCGCGTTGAAGCTGCTGCTGTTCTCCATCTCCACTCTCTACTCTCCACTCGTCCATCCCAGCATTATCACTCAACATGGTGGGCTCAGCTCTCTTCCAAACAGGCCCTCGCTGACACGGCCCAGGGTCAATCTCCTTCCAGCGGTGCAGGCGGAAACAAGAAACCGGGACCAAATGACAAGAAAGACAAGGTGCGCTACCATCTCTCTATGCTCTGCGCATCTGACCGTCCTTCTAGCCCAAGTGGGAACCCCCTGTCCCTACGCGTATCGGAAAGAAGAAGAAGCGTGGACCCGACGCCTCCTCTCGTCTCCCTGCCGTCTATCCAACCACTCGCTGCCGGCTCAAGCTGCTCAAGATGGAGAGAATCCAAGATTACCTTCTAATGGAGGAGGAATTCGTCTCGAATCAGGCTGCGCAGTCTGGCGAGGACAAGACAGCGGCCGACCGCACTCGTGTAGACGAACTTCGTGGCTCGCCCATGGGCGTGGGAACCCTGGAGGAGATCATCGATGACGACCACGCTATTGTCTCCTCCGGGGGTGGCTCCGAATACTACGTCAACATCATGTCTTTTGTGGACAAGGATCTTCTCGAGCCCGGATGTTCTGTTCTTCTTCATCACAAGAACCACGCCGTCGTTGGCGTGCTCGCCGACGACACTGATCCTATGGTGTCGGTCATGAAGCTTGACAAGGCCCCAACCGAGAGCTATGCCGACATTGGTGGTCTTGAAAGCCAGATTCAGGAGATCAAGGAGTCCGTCGAGCTTCCTCTTACCCATCCCGAGCTGTACGAAGAGATGGGTATTCGACCACCCAAGGGTGTCATTCTCTACGGTGTACCCGGTACGGGTAAAACTCTCTTAGCAAAGGCTGTCGCCAATCAGACCTCGGCCACCTTCCTCCGAATAGTGGGATCTGAGCTTATTCAGAAATATCTCGGTGATGGGCCCAAACTTGTGAGAGAGCTGTTTAGGGTGGCTGAAGAGAACGCGCCCAGTATCGTGTTCATCGACGAGATCGATGCTGTCGGTACGAAGAGGTACGACTCTACTTCCAGCGGGGAGAGGGAGATTCAGCGAACTATGCTTGAATTGCTGAACCAGCTGGATGGATTTGACACGCGAGGCGATGTCAAGGTCATCATGGCTACCAACAAGGTGAGCTTGCCAGCCATGCGTTCTGTGCGGTAAACTGACTGTTGGCCACAGATCGAGAGTCTTGACCCCGCATTGATCCGTCCAGGTCGTATAGACCGAAAGATTGGTACGTACAGTACATCGTCACGGAGCGCTCAACTTACATACCCTATAGAATTCCCTCTTCCCGACACTAAAACCAAGCGTCACATCTTCAAGCTTCATACGTCGAGGATGTCACTAGCTGAGGACGTTGACATCGAGGAGCTGGTTATGACCAAGGACGAACTGTCAGGAGCGGACATCAAGGCTGTTTGTACCGAGGCCGGCTTGCTGGCGCTGCGCGAGAGACGGATGAGGGTGACAAAGGCCGTAAGTCTCGCCTCAAGTTTAGTGCTGTATTTCGATCTCTGACGTCCTGTAGGACTTTACAGCTGCCAAAGAGAAGGTCTTGTATGGAAAAGATGAGAATACTGTAAGTTGCTCGTTAGCTCATTTGTGCCAATTTGACGGTCATCGTAGCCTGCCGGATTGTACCTTTAATCGTAGATACGGCGTACATACAAGAACGGCCAGTGGAAGTCATGAATACCTGTATAGACGTAGCAAGGGACTCGTATGGAATTCTCGGCCTTTTTTTCACTTCTTTGCTCGGCTATGCAAGACGTACTGTGTGCATGACCACTTGAGCGTTAGCGTTTCTGCGTTTATATACGGGAGAGACCGAGAGATCGTTGCATCACGGTGGACCTCAAGTGGACCTGCCCGCCGCGTCGCGTTCCTTCGGCTTGTGTTTGGCGGTGCTTTGATAAAATAAAGGTTGCTGTTGGTTGTCGCCAGCGCGCAATCAATTTCACTTGCCAACCTCCATCTCATAAGCCATCCTCCATGTTTGGAAACAACAACAGCCGTGCCCAGACTTCCACCGCCACCCGCAGGTCCGTGCCATCTCACGTCTCTTTCTCAGAGCTTCTGCTGATTTCCGCCCAGACTCATGAAGGAGTATCGCGACCTGACGGCTGACCCATTACAGGACACTATCACTGCTGGGCCTGTATCGGAAGACAACATGCTGGAGTGGGAGGCCCTCATTCAAGGCCCGGAGGGCACGCCTTATGTACGTCATTTACTTCGGCTTCGTCGTTCATGCTGATAGGAGACACAGGAGGGCGGTGTCTTTGCAGCCAAGCTGGTATTTGTATGATATAGCCCAGATTATACGCGTATAGAGCAGCGCTGACTATCGCATAAGCCTTCCGATTATCCTCTGAACCCTTTCACCATGACGTTCGACCCTCCTCTTCTCCATCCCAACAGTGAGTGAATTGGTGTACTGCTCATATACTGATGCGGCTTCCAAAGTTTATCCAACCGGCCAGGTCTGCATCTCCATATTGCATCCTCCGGGAGATGACCCTTTACAATACGAGTCCGCGTCAGAGCGTTGGTCTCCGGTCCAAGGCGTCCGCAGCGTTCTCCTCAGTGTGCTCAGTATGCTCGCAGAACCGAACATTGAGAGTGGCGCCGATGTTGAGGTATGTAAGACTCTTGATGCCCAAACAAATGCCGACCAACACTGGCTTCGTAGTGCTGTAAATTGTACCGCGACAATCGTGCAGAATTTGAACGGCGTGTGCGAGAGCAAGTCAGGACTCTTTTGGGTATATAGAGTAACATGTAATACGGGTAACAACTTTTTGGGACTCCTTCTTCACGAACATCGACACCGCATCCTCTTCAACAACCAATACAAATCTAGTCCGTCTCTTGGTGATAGCCTGCCCTTCGCATCTCTCCCAATCTTCTCCTCGCAGCACCAAGATCCTTTTCCAGCTTCAAGATTTCCACCTGCTGCTCCATCTCTCTGACCTTGAACTCGTGAGACGGCATAGCCTTGTAGTCGACAGCTTCGTCATCTCCTTGTGCATTGGCCAGCAGCTTGACCTGCTTGACAAGCTTTTTACACGCATCCGTGACAGCTTTCGCGGCCATTTCGAGCGCCTGCTGAGTCTTGGACATGAGAGACGCCTTAACTCTAGAAGCAGCGACAAGCTGTGCAGTGGCAGCAGAGACTTCGTTCAAAGCGACAATGAGCTGCTCTAAGGAGTGGGTGCCGGAAATGACGCCGTCGGCACTCTCGATCAATAGGCCCGTAGCGTAAGCGACGGCCTTGGCGGCAGAGATCAAACCCTCAGTCCAACGATTGTTCTTTTTGTAAAATTGCTGGGTCGTGCTGGTTCCCTTTCCTTCTCGCACAATTTCCTCCTGGCTGTCTTTCGCAGCGTTGATCAGACGGCCGATGGCATTGGCAATCTCGAGGGTGAATTTGAGAATGCTGTCGTGTACTTCCGTATTGAGCGAGCCATACCTATCACCGTCTTTGGGACGATTCATAAGGGCATGGATCCGCTGGGTAGCTTCTTCAATGGCTCGAGCCGCGTTTTGCATCTCATTGGCAACGATATCGCCAATGTCACCAGTGGTCTGGTTGAGAGTATTCTTTGCTTTGGGAACAAACTTCTCGACCGTATCGGACAGCTTGGAGAGGGTGCTGCGGGTTTCGGCGTTGTTTCTCAAAGCAGCATCTTCACTCTTCCCACCAGCCAACAATCGGAACGACTGAAGGTTATAAAAGAACCGGTATCCAGTGTCACCAGATTGCTTGGCGATACTGATGAGCTTTTCGGAAGCCTCATCGTTTTCAGCGAAACGGGTGATACCTTTGGTACTGATAAGAGTTTCCCAAAGAGATTGACAGAACTCGTTGGCCGTCCGGATGACATCGACATGGGTACCGCCGCTCTTGGTGAGGTAACGATTGAACGTTGAGGCGAACTCGGTGGCATCCGTCATTGCTTTCTCAATCATCGACAGGGTATACTCGGGAGTAGCGGTGGTGTTGCCCGTCTGCATGGGGGCCTCCAGGACGACGATAGCGTCGTCAACCTTCTTCATTGACGCCTGCAATATAGAATCGATGATGGCGTTGAGATCTCTGCGGTGATTGAGAATAAGGGTGTCGACTTGAGCATCAAACGCCTGGGAAGTATCGCCTTGGTTCTGTGAGGTGTCAGCAGAGCAAGCAATATGCTCTGGAAAGTGCTCACTTGTCTAAGATCACTGAGCTCTTGCAGAGTGGAGTCCATTCCTTCCTGCATTATCATGATTTCTTGGTCCTTCTCATCCATAGCATGCTGGATCTCGGACTGCTTTTCGTCAAGCTTGCGAAGCAAGTCGTCGATTTGCAACTGTTTAGACTAATCATGGCTATTAGCATATGGCAAAGATCGCCTCAAGAGACGTACTCGTAGCGAATCCTCGAGCTCGGTGAGCTGGCGATTGTACCTCGACATGACGTCCGAGACTTCTGTACTCTTGTGGCGAGAGGCGTCTTCGGCGCGTTCGTTCGCAAATGCCAAGTCTCTTTTGATCCGATCTGTCTCTTCGCGATGACTCTGATAGAAGTGTCAATGAAACGTGATTGACGACGCGAAGCACTACTGACCGACTTTACTCTGTCCAAATCGTATCTGGCTCTGTCTCTCTCTCTGATCATATCGGCGAGCTCCAGGTTCTTTGACTTGACATCCCTCTCCATTCTCTCCATCTTGTCGATAGCCTCTTGGGCAGAGTTGGCCTTGAGCTGGAAGCCCTTGGACTTGTTGAGCAAGTCGAGATGCTCCCCACGCAATTGAGAATAGAGCTTTGCGAGCGCCTCATACTTGCGTTTCCAAGACTCAATCTGCTGCTGTAGTTGAGCAATAAGGTCGTCTTTGGCAGACATTTGCCCTCCAACGTTCATACCGATAGAGGCCAACTCCTGTTCGAGGGCCTTGACTCGCCCGTCGTACTGTGCCAGAAGCATTTGATCACGCTCATACTGACCTCGCATAGCCAGCATCTCTTGCTGAACCTGACCCGCTTGTGAGGCCTGCTGATTGGTCCACTGTTGGCTCATCTGATCGCGAAGCAGCTGCTCCTGAAGCTGCGCCTGAGCCTGAGCTTCGCGCTCTTGCTGCAAGCGCTGCTGCTCGGCGTATTCGGCTTCCTGCCGTCGCTTCTCATCTTCTTGGCGACGCTGGTCCGCTTCACGTTGGGATACGAGATTCGACTGCTTTCGCTCGTACTCTTCCAACATGCGTCGCTGCTCATCAATCTCGCCTTGAGTAGGCTGAGGGGAAGAAGGGGGGCGGGGAGTTTCCTTGCGTTCTGGTCGTTTATCGGTTGTGGGTCGCTCGGGAAGTTCAGGGGCAACTCCATTGTCGATGAGATTGGGGGGTTCCTGTTTTGTCAGCGGGCGAAGCGTGCGAGTATACGTACCTGTCCCAGTTTGGGTACGTTGATGAGTCCGGTGAGATATTTGAGATTGCTGCACTCGTAGTAGAAGCGACGAAGGTTGTAGTGTTGGGCGTTGTAGCGCTCTCGCAGTGGAGAGAGAGCATCGGCAGCATCGGTCCCTGCACAAAGTCAGCTACCGTACCATACGTCGTGTTGCCAAACATACGTCGGTGCATGGCACGAAGCATGGAAGTGATAAACTTGTAGATGCCAAAGCTCTCCTTGACGAGAGGCACCAAAGCAGAGATTCGGCACTCGTTGTTGACAGATCCACGGAATGCGGTGAAAATGAGTTTCTGGAAAGACTCGATCTGGTCTTGAAGAGTCATCAAATCTGTGATAGTCTCATAACTACAAGGCGTGTTAGATGATACCAGGTCGCACGGATGAGTGACGACCTACCCCTCATTAGGGTCATCAATATTCTTCAAGCTGATGTACTCCTCGTATTCAAACAAGCCATTGAACTCGGGGTGGTGACGATGGAATCGCAACTTGGCGAGAAGGAAGGACGTGTACGCTTTGATAAGAACGCCGTAGCCCTTTCCTGTATCTCCCACTGTTCGCCCACATGTTTCTAGCCATCCCGTCTGTGCGTGTGCTTCTTTGAGAGTCTACTTGATCAGCGCTGCTTCGAGCAGAGTGGAACTCACCACTGGGTGTCCCTCCTGGAGAAGCTTATGGACGACGATAAGAGCCTTGAAAGTCTGCACTTCGTCGGCAAGGATCGGCTGAGTACGAAGCCCATTCCAGACAGAGAGGGAAGAGTGGTAGTCCCATGTGTACACGATGCACTCTGAATGTCAGCTCGGGCCGAGGCAGGCTGCACTCACTTCTGACGTGTTTCTGTTCTACAAGCAGAGTCAGGAAAGCGTCGCATGGAGGTAGGGTACGTACTGGGTGCGATTTCCTCCGGGCTGGTGGCCTTCTTGATGCTGGTCGAGAGCTCTGTCTCTGTCTTGTCCTTGTCCACCGGCCGGGTGGGCTGATGGGAGTGTGCGTTTGCCTGGGCGCGGGCCGAGGGATACTCTTCGAAGTCGGCGTTGTTGCGGCCGAACCTGCGGTGGTCAGCGGGGGGGTCAGCGGGGGCAGGGTGCTCACATGGGGGGCGGTGGGACAGATGCAGAGAGATGCAAAGAGATGAAGAGAGATGCAGAGAGATGCAGAGCAGGACATGCGATCTAATCTCTAGTTGGCTGAATGATGACGTTGCGGCCCCGCGCCTACCGGCGGCCATCCCCGACGAGGAGCCATAGGCGCGGGCGACACGTCAATACGCTCTCATCTCAGATACTTTGCAGTACGAGTACATCCTAATCTACTAAAATCTACTAATCTACTAATCTACATCAAGAGTACATAGACTCAGCATAGACTAGATCCCGTCCAGCCCCTCATCGCCGCCCGGCTTCCACCGCACGCACTACCAACCCCCCTCCCTCTCGACCACCTTGATGGATGGCGCCATTCGACCTCGATGCCTGCATCGACCGTCTGCGCAACAAGCAGCTGCTGGGCGAGGCGCTCATCCGCGAGATTTGCGAAAAGACCAAAGAGGTCCTCATGCGCGAGAGCAATGTCGTCCATGTGTCCTCGCCGGTCACCGTCGTCGGAGACATTCATGGTCAATTTCATGATCTCATAGAAATATTCCGGATAGGCGGCCAGGCTCCCAACACCAACTACCTTTTCTTGGGTATGTCAGGCTCTTTGAGTGATATTCGTCCTCTGACATGTCGCCACAGGTGACTACGTGGATCGAGGATTGCACTCGGTAGAGACAATATCCCTCTTGACTTGCCTCAAGCTTCGTTATCCTGAACGAATCCAGCTCATTCGGGGCAATCACGAGTCCAGAGCCGTCACCCAGGTAAGTTATAGTGGCCAGCGTCATTGAGCGTGTGATGAGAAAACAAAAGAGGACTCTGAGGCCGCTGCCTATGGAGAAGGCTCTGCTGGTCAGCCGTCGGTACACTGGCAAGTCTTTGCAAGGAACCCGCTGTCCAGGAGAGTATAGAGAACGGAAATCTGATGCTCAATATATATCATCCTCCCCATCGAATGGAGCTGACTGGTCCAGACGTATGGCTTCTACCTCGAGTGCACAAGAAAATATGGGTCACCGGCAGTATGGCAATACTTTACCGACATGTTTGACTTTCTCACGCTCAGTGTCGTAATCGACGACGCCATCTTTTGTGTCCACGGCGGTCTCAGCCCTTCAATCCATCAAATCGACCAGATCAAGATCATAGACCGCTTTAGAGAGATACCGCACGAAGGGCCCATGGCCGACCTTGTGTGGTCAGATCCAGATCCAGAGAAGGAAGATTTTGCCATCAGTCCGAGGTATGTTCAATTCGTCTCGGAAATCTATAGGAGCTTACACTTGCGCAGAGGAGCCGGATACACATTCGGGGCATCTATTGTCAAGAAATTCCTCCACCTCAACGGCATGAATCATGTTTTACGCGCCCATCAACTTTGTATGGAAGGATACTCTGTACTGTACAACGACCAGCTGAGCACAGTATGGAGCGCTCCCAATTACTGTTACAGGTGAGAATGTCTGAATGAAAGGTGACATGCGCTAATGACACGCTGCAGGTGTGGAAACATGGCAAGTATACTCGAGGTATCGCCAGGAGGGAGGAGGTTCTTCAATGTGTTTAGCGCCGCTCCCGAAAATGAGGTTTGTCAGGTTATAGCTTGGATAATGATTCAACTCATCGATTCCTTCAGCGAGATGGACCGAGTCAGCAGCAGCCAGGAAAGGCAAGTACATGTGGCGCCGAACGCGTCCGTCCGACTAACTGTATCCGCAGCAAATCGAATACTTTTTATAAACACTACCCTGCATCCACCATATACCACATCATGCGTCCCAATCTAGAGCCCCGAATAGTTCGTCGATTAGGTCGTAGCTCCTTCCTCTCAACACCCCCTTTCCTCCATTCATCACGTCTTTTACGCCTGGTAACGCCCATTCTTTTGTGACCTTCCACCGCCTGCATATGAACACTTTGGCCTCCCAATCGCCTCCCCGAACTGGGGACATGTGAAAATAACGGGCGAGAGCATCAAAAAAGGATTCTTCCAGTGCGAGTGTTCGAGAGAGATCTTGCTTTAAGCTTGAGCTGGATGCTTGTATATACGGTGAACTGCGACTTACAAGATAGGATAATATCTGGCCCGAACGTAGTGCCCTCGATGTCGTCTATATCTTTTGGCTCGGTCAGACTGAGCAGAGTGTGGAGGAGTAATGGGTATAAATGGGGGAAATACACCTATCGTGGTTTAGCCAAAGCATGGCAGTGTCTGCCCGATGACTCACAAGATCACACATGAGGATATGAGTCAGAGATCCAAACTCGCTAGTCGCATCGGACACACTCTCGCCCCAGGCCAGGGGCCGTGCGATCACCCTCGCATGTTGCTGGGAAGGAGGTTCCCAAGATTCTATGCATTTTTCACAAAGGGGCATGACAGAGGGGAGGTCGGTGACAATGACAGTGTCTCGATCTGTGAGCCCTTCAGCCAAGTGCAGCGAAGCTACTGATTGGCCAGATCCAAGCTCCAATATGGTGCGAGGGCCAGACGACAGAAACACGGGACATGCGGGGTCATACTGTTGCGATGGAGTTAGGTACTCGAGTAGTGGCCGGGTGGCCTCCCTACGAATGCATGAATAGGATCCCATCGCGCTTGTCGGCTGTGGGGCTCACCACACGCGGCCTGCTATGCCATACGTCGCGATCGCGTCGGCCTGCTCGGTGGACTGCGTCTGCGCGAGCGAGAGTGAGTGCTGGAGGAGAAGGGGGCGGATACTGAGGTTTGGGGGAAAGTTGGGGTCTGCCATGCTGGTAAGCTACCTGATATGGATGAATGGATGATACCTGCCGTTGTGCGTCAGCGACGTGGCGTCGCATGCATCGGCGCTAGGAATTTGCTCCCGCGTGCGCCGCCACAGTGTGTGCCGTGCGAAAAACGCCGAGGGCGGCGGGGTCCGCCTGTGGGTGTGCGCGCTTGGAGGTGCAGGAAGGCGAAGGCGGGCTTTGATCTTTTGTTTTTCACCCGTCAACACAACCCAAAAATGGCGCGCTCTTCCACTCTCGCCCCCAACGTGGGCAGGCTCTCTCGATCCCAGGTCGCCGCCAAGCGAGGTCTCTTCAAGGGTGAGTCGGCACCAAGCGCAGAGCACGGCACACAAGTTTAGGGAATTCGGCGGGAAGGCCATGGCCGAGGAGGGATGGAGATGCGGAGAGCAAGAGGGCATGGGGAGAGATAGCGATACACGAGAAATGGTGTCTAACGAGTGTGTTGTAGGCAAAAAGACCGCCCAGGCCCCCGCTAAGGCTGAGGCCCCTGCTACCACCGAGAAGAAGGTCGGCGGTGCCAAGAACGGCGAGAAGCGATTGGTCCCCACCTCCAAGGCTTCCAAGTACTACCCCGCCGAGGACGTCCGAAAGCCCAAGATCTCCCGAAAGACCGCCGCCAAGACTGTCCTCCGAAACAGCATCACCCCCGGTACCGTCCTCATCCTCCTCGCCGGCCGATTCTCCGGCAAGCGAGTCGTCTTCCTCAAGCAGCTCGACTCTGGTCTCCTGTTGGTTTCTGGTCCTCACAAGTCAGTCAATGTTTCGCAAGCAATGTCCGGGGGGTGGAGAAGGCGCGCCGGTGGTGGGATAGAGTTTTTGTGCTGATATCAGGCGCAGGATCAACGGTGTCCCCCTTCGACGAGTGAGCCAGGCCTACGTTATCGCTACCTCCACCAAGGTCGACATCTCTGCCGTTTCCATCCCCGAGTCTATCAACGACGCCTACTTCACCAAGGCCAAGGCTGCCAAGTCTACCAAGGAGGGAGAGTTCTTCGGTGAGGGTCAGGAGAAGAAGGCGTTCCCCGAGGAGAAGAAGGCCGAGCAGAAGGTGAGTTGTTTGCAGAGTTTGCTCCCACCGCTCCATGCTGATGATTATCCTCTAGGCCGTCGACGCTGCTCTCATCGCTTCTATCAAGAAGGTTGACAACCTCTCCAAGTACTTGAAGTCTTCTTGGGGTCTCTCCAAGGGCGACCGATTCCACGAGCTCAAGTTCTAGATGGTCGTTGATGGGGTTTGAGATGCATGTATCACAGCTACTTTACGACTATGATTACAACCAAGGAGCCCAACCGAGATACATCAGACCCTATATGGCCAGTGTCAGTCTGCCCAAAACAAGAGGATTCGAGAACAAGACTGGCAAGGAGCTGTCTAGAGACACGTACGAGATTGTTTGGAGACGTTGCCTCTTTGATCAGATAGTCGACCTGGCTGGGGACGGAGAGCACCGTGTTCTTGTCGTCCTTTTCCTTCATGATGCCCCGAAGCTTCCTTTTGATAGGTCGGAGGTTCCTGTCGGCAGAGTGACGGATATCACGGACATCCTTCTCGGCACTTTTCTTACCACGGCCCTGACAATGATGGTAAGAACAGCATCCCACGGTATCGAGTGACTTACGGAACGTGCCCATTCGACCAGCGGATCATGCACAAACGCCTCCAAGACACTCATCAGGGAATCGCTATTGGAGCGAAGGATGTCCAAGGTTATTTCAGCGGCCTTGCGGTACACGCCTGGACCCGGCCATCGTCAGACAGAACAACTCTACGACTTGCTTTACTCACCTTCAACCCCCGTAACACCCAACGCGCCCACAAGATTCTGAGTCAGCCGGAAGGGAACCCGCTCCGGGATTTCAAACGTAGCCCCCTTTCCTCATAGTTAGAATGATTGAGATTATGCAATGCACTTGGCTCACCTTTTCAAACAGACAATTCAGATCAACATGGACGGTATCGCCAGTGAGGCCATCAAAAAGGATATTTTCACCATGCCTATCTCCGAGGCTAGAGTGGTCATAAGCATCGCGCCAGTGATCCGGTACCACCGTCAAGGGGCTTACCCAAGAACATAGCCTATCATTGACATAACAGCAAGCGTGCGACTATAGGCTGAACGGCTGGCCATCCATGCGGAAGGTTCGGGCCATGTTGTCAAAAACCACTCGTTGAACCGTGTCGGTTGGTAACTGAAGTGGCGATCGTCAGTGAACGTAAGATGCGTAAAGGCAACAGACTTGCGCCGGCAGAATCACGTCCTTGAAACATTTGATGACCGCGTCCAGATTTTGCTTGCGTGCATTGCCCATGGCCGTTTGATGATCACCGTACTGGAGCGCAGATGATGAATCAGCTTTGTTAGCATGAGATCAACATCACTTACCCAGACTCGTTTCCCGTATCGGGCGTAGCATTTCTCTAGAATACTTTTAAAAGGAGCCGTGTTTGCTACCCATTCCAGGAGACCGCACTCCTCGTTGAGTGGCATGACAGCATAAGTCCGAACATCTGACAATAGTTAGTGAGGATTCTGACCCAAATTATGACATCGAAACTTACAAAGCTGACGCTTTCGAGACTCCGAAGCTCTCTTTAACAGTTTATTGATCATCGAGTTGAGATCCATCAAACGAGCATCCTTGCGGAGATCGTCGTGTGGCTTACACAAGAATGGATACTCCTTGCCGTCGCTTCCAATGAACATGAGCTTCTTGGGCTTCACCAGAGAAGACATCATCTCTACTCGATCCGCAATGTTCTTGATCTCGATGGGTTCGGAAGGAAAGGGCGTGTGGGTTTGAACTGTATCGGAGGAAGTGGGCAGCGGGCATGTGAGAGCATCCTGTAGGGGTAATATCATTGTGGAAGGGAGCACCCTGAGGACATAAGGGAAATCATTCTTGAGAGATTTGTATTTCTTGTCATCTGGCGGATGATCAGCCAATCGCAGCAAGGTGCTGCAGAAAGCATCTGCGTCCTGGACGGCTTTGGCGATGGTCTAGCATTATCAGCAAAGCAGATGACTTGCTAAACTCACGATTGCCTTGTCCAGCACTTTCCGGCACATATTCTTTCTCTCAATCTGATTGGACTGCATGACCCCCACCATTGGCCACAAGGCTTGTTGAGGATATTGGCAAAGAACTCGGACCATGATTTCGCGAAGCTCTTTGAACACGTTGGGGTCGGGGTGCATGATCCGAGAAACGATTTGAGGGAAAGCCATGAAGAACTGGATGTCAGATTGAGTCGTACATGATCGTGACTTACTTGATAAGGAGGTAATTCCCTCGCGGCCTTGCGGATAGTATCATGTATACTTTTGACGTATTTGTCTCTTGACCTAAGCGTCTTAATCAGATAGCATTTCACGGCATATCGACAGTCACTCACTTTCTCGTGTCAGTCGTCTCACCCAGGTCAAGCCAGATGGTAAGCATCCTAGGCATGGTTTGAAATATATATTTGACGCCGTAGCGCAATGCCTTTGAATACATGAGGACTGTGTGGTATTTGAAGACAGTGCTGTGCGATGTAAGCATTTCCATAGCGTCTCGTCGATCTGACCCACTTCTCCTGTGTTTCTCCTGGTAAAGAGTCGTAGAAATGACCAAAATGATAGTAGGGCGACTCTAGGCTATCGAATTGTTAAAGGTCGCGCATGAAGAGTGAAAATGCTTGCTCACTTGTCGCAAAAGTTGATTGCCTCCTTGTACCTCGTGATGATCTCGTTCAGTTCAAATCTGTCCGTTTCGTTGGCCCATCGTGCCATCAAGAGTACAGCCTGGGGGATGATCAGAGACAAGCTTGTTGTTACGGAGTCACCGACTTACCTTTGCCATCTTGATCTGTTGATTCATATCGTCGTCATTGGTTCCCTTCCCTGACAGCTTCCTCTTTTCACTCGCTAAGGCATTTTCCAAATCAGTCAATGCCTTCAGAACGCTGCCTTGAGCACGGCGAAGTTTCGCTTGCTGCACAAATACGAAAGGCGCTGAAGCTGATACAGCCTGAAGGGTTGCGCTGTAAGCTGTCTGCTCGTAGCCAGCTTTACGAGCAATTTTGGAGCTGAGGATCCATGCGTCGCCGATCTCTGGATTGAGAGAAGGCGTATTCATCAATCCGTAGGCTGTTCTTCGGACACTGAGGATTGCTTCACGTGTTCGGAACGCCGGCGAAGTGGTGTGGAATCGGTCTTCAAGAGCCTTGTTGAGACTTCGCACCCCTGCCTGGATAATTGCCTGTCTGTTGGCGTTGCGAGGGGTAGTCTCAATGCGCGTTTTAGTCTCGTTGATCATTGATATCTCGTGTATCATGTGCAGTTGGAGTAAGGCATCTTGTGCCGAGTTGTACCCTTTGCCTGTGATACCGATGCCGACCTCACTTCTCACCTGCCTCAGAACAGTCCCAAGATCTTGGTTCTCGTGAAGGGCGAGCAAGGCCTTTCCAATGGGGGGGCAGTCTTTGCCTACCAGCCGTACAGTGTCCCAATCCCCAATGATCCACGCTGCTTCTGCCTCGAGTTGAACCAGCGGAGCACGCCACTCCGGGTGGCGGCTGAGTACGCCTCGGATATGGGTACGCAGGGTATCTGGAAGACAGCACGTAAGTACGGCTTTTGCTTCGTAATCATTACTTACCATAATGACCGAGGTTTCGAAGACATTTGAGCAACCCATGATGGAGAGTCACATCATCGGGTGACTGTTGCAATCTCACCTCCCAACAGCTCTGTGCCGCAGTCCATCTACCTGTACTTTCATGCTCTCTGATCTGATGCTCCAATGTTGGCGATATGACAAAGGTGGAGACGCCCTCCATACCGTCAGGCTCGTCCAACTCGGCGTAGATATGATGCAGGTTTTCGTAATATTGCTGCAGGTCATCGCGGGCACGCCCCTCGCGTGTGAGCTGCACAACCCGTTCTTCAAAGCTTCTCAGTGACCTCGCATACGCTTTGCTGTTCATAGCCGCGTGTGCCATGAGTTCAGTCTCGATACTATTCAGGACTTGCTCCACAGGTTTTCCCTTGACTGAGCGCTCCGATTTGTCTGGCTTGACTCGGTTTAGACGCAGCCATTTGCTCAGATGGTCCATCAAGTCAAAGATGACCTGAGCTGCAAGTGATCGTCGCCCAGTGGGCCCCGATGGCTGCACCTGATCTTGCAGGACTGTGTTGATCTCGAGAGAAATCTCATCGTTGTACAATTGGTTGTTGGAAAGCAGGACGTTCAACACCAGATGGGGAAGCATGTGGTGAGCCACAGTAACGTCTTGGTGCTTTAGAATGATGCCTTTGAACACTCCAAAGATCGACTTGCTATCGGCCTCTGCTCTGCCCTGTCCGGGCATAGACATGACCTTGTTTATCAGGTCTGTTGTCCATCCCTGGAGCCATTCCCGATACGTATTTGTGGATGCGTATATCGGATAGACAAAGGTGCGGGCAGTGGAGTCTCGCAGAGAAAATCGAGTCTCGAGAAGAGGTGTAAGTGTCTCGAACTGATCTTTCGGGAAACCTCCCCATCGCGCTAGGATTTGGGGGTCGACCCCCCGGCTGTCCTGCGCAACAACTTTGATGGTAAACCCACAGAAACGCAGTAGCTCTTGTATAGCAAATGCTAGATATGTTTGATGGGCGGTATCATTTGTGGCACGGAAGGCATCGACAAGCAAGTCGCGCACAAGATGTAGCGCAAAATTGATTGACTCTTGCGAGTCGTTAAAGTTGGACATGAGTAGGACAGTACCACTTTCCGACTGATATCCCAGTCGATCGGTATCCAAGGCGCCCAGAATGCCCATACACTCATAGCTCAAGTCCCTCAACTCGTCGTAATCCCCATCCCGAGTAGCTACCGTGAAGAGAACAGACATTATCTTGGCGGCGATGGCGTCGAATGTGTCTCCTTGCGCGAGCTTGAGCACATCATTTTGATGTTGAAGCAACAGGCGTTTGAGCTCGTTCATCGATGCTGTTGAGATAGCCACATTGTTGCTCGCGGCTCTGTCCAGGACTTTGGATATCCGCACTGACACAGGGGCTTTCTTTCCGGGCCCGGCCAGTGTTGCTGCCGCGTGTCTCAGCTCGGGAATGTGGTCCATGCCCACGACCTCATCTGTAAACTCTTTGAGCTCTTTGGCGTTTGACGCAATAAGGTCCAATATCCTTTTTGCCACTTGTTTGGCCTCCGAGTCGAAACTTGGCCAATTGGTGACAAGTGCGCCTGTCGTTCGACCGACAAAGGGGCCGACGTTTCGAAATCTCAAAGTGTCCACAAAGGTCAACCAGGTATTGAGAGTCTCTAGTCTGAGCTCTTTGACACCTAGTGTGCTTTGTAGGCTTGCCATTATCTATAAGCTTTGTCAGTATTGAGACTGCAGAGATAGAGATCACACTCACCTGAGGAGAAAAAGACGTCATGGAATCCCCTGCCATCTTGATCAACTCGCCCAGACTCCGAATCATTTTGCATTTTTCTGAGGCTGTTTTCTTCCCCAAAGCCCCATGCAGCATATCGTTCAGTTGCGATATGATGCCCGCCATGTGAGGTTTAAGGAAAGCGCCCACGTCCTGATTTGAGGTTTTCTTCTCTTCACTATACTCTCTGGCTTTCTTGAGACCCTTCTGTGCCGCATCTCTAACATTGGGATCCTCATCGCCCAGCTGTATGACTAGTATCACACAGAAATCAACGGTGCACGACCGCATCATAGACTGGACGGAAATGGAAGAATCCGTGATCGAGCGCATAGTTTTGACGAGAAAGTTGAGAGTGGTATTGATCTTGGAAGGGTGCACAAAAATATGCGCCAGTACATGAGCGATGTTGTCCATGATGGCTACACCTATGTTTTGTTTGACGATCCCGGACACCGTTGATAGAGCGTCTAGATTTCGGGACAAGACCAGCGCTGGCACAACGTGCTGGAGCGACGCAGAGAAGAGTATCTGTCGGCTGGACTTGAGGAAGGATGTGGTTTCGGCGACCATTTCTGGAGAGCGCTGAATGCTCTCCGCAAGGACAACACTAATGCGGTCTAGGAAGGGGTTCAGAAGAGCATAGGGCGTCTTTTTCCGTGCCTTGGCAAGGTTCACCAGCTGACAAATGGGATCAGATTCGACAAGAACAGGATGGACAGTAAACTTACAGCAGCATAGGCGACACTCCTTAGGTGTTCGTGGGACGACCCAAGTTGTTCCAAGAGAAGGCGTAGTACGGAGCAGAGCGCGTCGCCTTCGGCATAGCGACCTATCTCTCCGAGAGCCAATGTAGCCACTTCTCCGGTAGCCAAGGGCTTTAGGACAGGGACTAGGGCATCTATATACCCATGTTGATTTCTTTTGGCAACGTGTGGATCCGGGTGTGAATCTTGAGCAATAAATAGGGAAACTAGCGCTCGACTGAATGAATTGTTAGCAAGTTACTAGTCTCGTTTCAACCAACGCCTTACCTAGTAGCGACTCTCATACCCCTGTCTGAATCAAGCAAGCCGCTGCTGATGACATCCATGATAGCGGCGCGCTCTGCAATATGCATGCTGGTCGCGACGACTTTAGCTGGTGTATGCATGAAGATTGCTGCCAGCGCGTTCATCATTGACAAATCAGTCACGGCCACTTTGAGCCATAAATCCAAAATGTTTGGTTTCAGCTGCCTAGGCGAGACTGAAGGAGTATGCCGATGTTCCCCGGCGAGCCCACAGACAATGCGAGGCATCATAGGAGCCAGAGGCGCCAATGATTCCTCTTGGCGCAGCAATATATCCACAAGGTCCTCCGCGCCTGCTGTATCCGGATACAGCTTTTCGAGATCCTGTCGCACAGTCGCCTCGCCGTTATCACGCTTTCTCTTCTTTGATGGCAGCGAAGGCAGGTCGGTTTCGTGCGTTTCGTGTCGCCTGAAGGCCTGAATCCTATGCTCTTTGGAGGAATCACCAGTGCTATCAGCTATTTCACGAGCTTTGGCAAGCCATATCTTGATAATGCCCTCGGAATCAAGAGCTTCTTGGATGGATGAGTGTGGCAGCCTAGGGGGGATCGAGGTCAAAAGATGATTGATGGCTGGATAGCCAACGCAGTCGTCCGTCATATCCAATGTATGGACTCGCTGGTACAAGCACCACCATAACTCGACACGAATCTCTGGGTGCGCTAGCGATATATTCTTGTAGAAATCCTTCAGAGCTGTTTGGCCTTCGAGGTCATTTGAGAAGGTCACGCTCGCAAGAGAAGCGCAGGCCTTGGTTATACCCTCAAAGCGACCAGACGATATGGCGCTGGTGACAGCTCTGGTGAATTGCGTCTGCAGCTCATCCGTCTGTATCAGAGGGATTGCTTGCGATAGCATATTGCAGGCAGTAGATTGAAAGGCGGTGGAGAAGGTGAGGTCGAGCTGGACAACGATGGAAAGAGAGCATAAGAGGCTGGCACAGTTGCTGGGGAGGCACTGGCAATGAAACAGTTTTGCGTCTCTATAGTCGAGGATATCTTGAAAAGAAGGACCATCAGATCACGGCATCCAGTATTAAAGTGTTGCTCACCTTGGCAAAACAAGATCATACTATCCAATATCTGTGCTGCCCTTGCTGGCCCCCCTAGGATGGATTGGTCGGACGCTTCGGACGAATCTCTCGCTATGCCTCGTATGACGCTGACGACAGCTGCTGAAGCTTCATCTGCCAAAAGAGGAAGCCGGGATATGGAGGCAATGTATATGAGTCGTGGAAGCAGCCACTGGTAGAAGGGGGCATCGGGGAAGATGTCGAGGAGATAGGAGGGATTTGAGGCGGTCTGTCTGTCGATGATGGCGAGGGTGTATGAGGATTGCTGTGGATCCACGGGGGAGCCCGAGGAGAGGGGCTTGAGGATGCAGTGTTCGAGCAGCACGTGGAGCAGCTCGCCGGGGCGGGACTGGCCGTGTGCGTTCCCGGGGGCGAGGCCTTCTTTGAGGAGGCGGGGGAGAAGGCGCTGTATGTGTGGCGGGGCGGGCGGGGCGGGCGAGGCGGGCATCGGCGACGGAGGGGCGGGAGACTGGACTGACAGGAGGAGACGCGTCGCGTGAGACCTCATGTCCATTTGCTCCCGCTGTTTGCTCCCGCCTGCTCATTCACTCATCCACTTGTTCAACTCTCACGTCACCATCTCGCACCCCGCCATGTCGAAGAAATCAGACCTGCTCGTCCGCGTCCGCTACCAGAACCCGCTCCCCCAGCCCCCCTTCCCCCCCAAGCTCCTCGATGTCCCCACCACCGTCGCCCGCCTCGCCCGCCCCTCCTACCTCGAACAGCTCGCCGCAAGCACCCCTCTCGCTATGCTCGTAGACTCTGAAATGGGCATGCACATCAACCTCAACTCCTACGACGGTGTCTGGAACGGGGAAGATCAATGTACGTCCAACATCCCTCGACGGCGCTGACCACCAGCCCTCAATCCGATTCCCGATCCCGATAGAGTACACAACCCCATCGACCTCACTCTCCTTGCCCCCTTCAATCCTCCTCCTACCGCCACTGGCGAGATCAAATCAGCGCCATCGGCCACAGACGTGTCCTGGATGCGAAACAATAGCTACATTACCCGCCGAAATAACGCTCGCCGCAAGGAAACAGCGGCAGAAGCTAAAGAGGACGAGGTCGTGGATGCCTCGGAGGCTGCCCAGCTGTTGACCATCGAAAAGTCCTTCTTGGATATCGCTACACAGGATCCCAAAGAGGTCAAGCACCCCGACCCCAAGAAAAGATATCTCACGGTTGTTGACGTACGTGGAAGCGGATCTACAGGCGGGCACTCTGAACTAATACACCTTTAGAGTTACGACATTCTTCCCGACGATGAGGCTTGGTCAAACAATTACATCCTCCTCCGGTTCCCCGAGAGGCCCTCTGCTTCCACGGCTGTCGTACGTGCAGCTCCTAGGTACTCTGCCAGTCACTGACCTGGGACCATAGAACCCAGCTGCCGGGGCGTCGTCTCCACGCTTGGCCAAATCCATTCTCCGCCCTATTGTAGAAGACGAGCAGCAGATGATGGACTTTTATCTCCCGCAAGAAGAAGACGTGGCCAATATTGACGGCGCCTACAATCAGGCTGTCGATGAGGAGCCTTTGCAAAGGATACTGCAACTGAGCGCAGACGATACAGATGATCCCGAGATTGACCGCACCTTTGCCGTGAGGTTCCCGGTTCATTCTGTAGAGGCAAAGAACTGATCATCCGGTTAGAATACTCATTACGACCGCATTCGCACGTACGAAGTGGTCAGCACCGTGGTCCCTGAAAAGGAGGTGCTTGTCTCATTCCAAGAAGAAGAGAGCCGACACGTCGGTGAGAACGATGAACGGCCAGCAAAGAAAAGAAAGGGTGTCTACTACAAAGAAATCAATTTCAAGACTCTGTTGCGAAAGACCCGATCCAAGGCAAGTCCTACATGCGGCTGCCTGTCATCTGGCTAATCCTATCCAGCGACGCGAGGAATTGGACAATCAAGATGACCGATGGGACAAGGGCCGCATCGGATTCAGAAAACCGAACGAGACCGACGCCGAACTACGCCGAAAGGGTCGCAGTCGAGTGGCCGATCCAGGATGGGCAAATGAACAATTGCGGGCCATCCACGGCGGAGAAAACATGGCGGAAGGGCAGGGAGAAGCCATCGATGACGAGCAAGATGAACCGGATGATGGCGCTCTTCGGGCCGAGAGGGCGGCTCGAGACGAGGACAGTGACTAGGATGAAGACCGTGATATGCATACAACAGTAGTGACGACTATGGACGACCAAATTTGTATCTACTCGTCTCCCAATATCTCCCGTATCCTTTGCACGATATCTAGGTAAGCCGTAGTCGCCGGGCTATCAGGATATTCGTCCAAGAAACTTAACCCTTCATCACAAGTCATCCCAATGCGCGGATCCAAGGGGACCTTGCCCAGTATTTCGATCCCCAACTCCTTCCCCATCGCTTCCGCTCCTCCTGTGGTTGGGGCAAAGATCTGACTCTCGTTTTTGCAGTTGGGACAAACAAATCCAGACATGTTTTCGACCATGCCAAGAATGGGGATACCGACCTTTCGGCAAAAATCAATCTCCTTCCTGACATCCTGCAATGCCACCTCCTGCGGCGTTGTGACTAGGACAGCGCCGTCTATGCCGGCCTCTTTCAGGTATTGGACGATAGAGAGATGCTCATCGCTCGTACCAGGAGGAGTATCGATCACCATGTAGTCCAAGTCACCCCATTCCACATCCTTCAAGAACTGCTTGATAAGCCCGTTCTTTTTCGGTCCTCGCCAGATGACGGCATCCGAAGTGGAAGGAAGAAGAAATCCGATAGACATGACAGCCAGATTGTCTAGCGCATAGGCAGGAGACCATCCAGATGAAGAAGTGTGTATAGTCGAGGACTGAAGGCCCATCAGAAGAGGGATAGAGGGACCGCAGATGTCAATGTCCATGATTCCTGTCTGTGTGTCCAGTCAGCAAAGAACCTGTCACGCAGATGCCCAATACATACCTGACACTCTTCGTCCGCTGCCAGTGCCCAACTGAGGCCTGCAGAGAATGTGCTCTTCCCTACTCCTCCTTTTCCGGAAAGAACCAAAACTTTGCGCTTCACGTTGCTCATCCTCTCGCGGATCAATGGCAGATCCGGGTCAGGGCCCTTCGGCCCCTCCGCGCACACCGACTGATTAGGGCAGCCTTCGCACGCATCGGACTTTCCTGCATTGGTCGATTCCACTCCCTGGCGGGGTCAACAAAAGACGAATGACCGAACGTGCAATAGACTTACAGGGCAGTGATCAGGAGCGTTCTCGGGGACAGTGGCTGGCAGAACAGTCGAGGAAGGCTTGAGCGGCACTGGCGAAGGTGCAGGTACCGGCACAGGGATTGCTGCCTGTGTAGCTATCATTCTGCAAGTCGTGAAGAAATATGTCTTGTTGCTGACTGTCTTTTGTCGGAGCTCGCTCGGTCGGCCGCCACCCGGAAGCAAATTCCGTCCAATTGTGGACGGCGGTCATCGCCACTTTGCGACTCTGTGATATTGGCCACTCCCTGACTGCTTCGGCGGCCTTAATTCGAGCACGCTTGCTCTACTGATCATGCCATTGTCTGATTCATCGTGAATGTCATAGGAGGCTCGAAACAAACGATGTCGTAGGATGTCAACGTCCCGTTTTGACATTTCAAGGCTGACTGTAGTACATTCTAAATTCATCTTTTGGCTATGCTACATTGTGACTAAAAGGTCAAGCTGCGTCCTCTCGAATCTCGGGAATTTCCTTGCACCAGGCGGGGTCGTCACCGTGATCCTTGGTATACTTGTCGTGTTCAACAAGGACGTGCTTCCAGTAACTGCTGAGCGCGTGGGCCCTGACAGTGACGGGATGGTTGGGCTGGGCGCGACTGACTCGCTGCACGGCGACATCGGCCAAAGAATATCGTGATACGTCATTGAGACGAAGCATGGAGTATGGAGTGGTAGTCGAGCCCTCCTCGATATACCCAAGTATGTCAAACTGCAATGCAGAGTCAGTATTGGTGTCGGCCAGAACAGAATAAGAACTTGCTCTAGACCTTCCAACATGGGCCCTTCTCGAAAAGAGAAGGCCAGAGACGTCCTTGGGATATCCATGGAAATTGAAAATGACAGGCTTGTCGGCAGTGAACAGACTGTCAAACATGTCCTGTGTGAGTGCGTGGGGATGCACGCCGGTCTGGCCCAAAATCAAGAGGTCGGTGACATTGACAACTCTGACCTTGATGCCCTCATTCCTCAGTAGGGCCGCCGCTGCAACCACTTCATAAGTGACCTCGACACCAGCGCCAACCAGCACAACGTCGGGATCAATGCCATTGTCTGACGAAAAGCGTTCCCAGACAGAAGCACCCGCGATGCAGTGTCTCTCGGCCTATTGATTGAGTGGATCAGTAGGGCTACTTTGTATACTACGACTTGCTCACTTCGTCGGGTGTCAGGAAGCTTTTAGTAGGGTTCTTGGACCCAATCACGAGGTTGATATCTAGCAGTGCGTCAGCCCCCATCCACTGTATATTGACATTGCTCACTGTTCTTTGATCTCAAGCAGTGATCCACAACAGCCACGCTAGTGTTGGCGTCGGGGGGGAGATAGATCCTTGCAAGGTTTCGGGGCAAGGAGATGAAGGAACCAATGAGGCCGGGGTTCTGGTGAGAGTACCCATTGTGTTCCTGTCGCCACAGAGTACTGGTCTCGATATAAGTCAATCCAGCCACATTACCGCGCCACTTGGTCTCCAATGCCATCTTGATGAATTTGGCGTATTGCTAGAGACTGGTCAGCAACGTTCTCAAATTCAAAAGTTGACGCACCTCAATCATTGTCTGTACAATGCCAAGGAAACTCTCGTAGGACGGGAAAAGACCGTGTCTTCCGGTGAGAGTATAACCCTGGAGCCAACCTTGGAGTGTATGCTCCGAGAGCATCTCAATGACACGCCCGCCCTTGTTTGCAGTCTCTGGGTCCCATTGAAAGTTTCTCTGTGTGACCTTGAAAGCGGCATCAAGCTTGTTGCTGCTGATCTCGTCTGGCGAGAAGATTCGGAACTCTTTGGGATTCAGCTCGATGACCTTGGCCACATATTCACCAACGCTTTGCAATTGTCAGACTACTTCCGTGTGTACAAGCCACTACTCACGCTTTCATGTTGGAGATTTCCTCGTCGATTGGATGGGCATAGTCTTTCCAAGAAGGTGTCTTGAGAGGTTTGAAATCGCGATAAGTGGCCTTGATGATGTTAGTCATGTCCGCTTTTGTGATTGCGCTTGACTCACGTTGACCATGCCCATCCTTCGCTCTTGGTCTCTTGGAATGATCCTGACAGCCTTGCTATCAATGATGCCTCGAGCCTTGTCGGCAGGGTTATGAGCCCCAGAGTGGCTGTCATCTACATGAACGTGGAAGAGTTCATCTGGACCGTACGACTCGAGCCAGCTCTTGAGGAGGTCAAATTCCTCTCCCTTGGCGCCGGCACTCGGAAGGGGTACTGAGAGACGAATGGTCAGGGATGGTGATGTTGACATTAGAGTAAGACATACCTTGGTGCGCTCTCCAGTTGCCCTCAACCAGCTTGCCTTCGGCCTTTCGTGGTCCAGTCCACCCCTTGGGCGTTCTCATGACAATCATGGGCCACCTGGGCTTGACAATGGGCTTTCCACTTCGCGCAGCTGATTGGATTTTTTGGATTTCCTGGTACGCCCACTCCATGGCGACGGCCATGTCGTACTGCACGGCGATGTCGTGCTCATGATCAGAAGCTTCTTCGGGAGACTTGGAGCCGTACTCGACGATGTGTACTTGATATCCGTAACCGGTGAAAAGGCAGGCAAGCTCCAGGTCGTCCATGGCGCCAGTGATGGTCCTCTCTCCAATCTTGTAGCCATTTGCATGAAGAATCGGGATCACGGCCCCACTCTCTGCAGGGTCGATGTACTGCGAGGTTGTCGTCAGCAACGAGCACTCGAAGTGAGACGATTGACAGACCTTGTGTGCGTGCCAAGCTGTGGCGGTAGGGCCGGTCTCGCTTTCGCCGTCGCCTATCACAGCGACCGTGATATGGTCTGGCTTGTCCATTACACTGATCCAATGTCAAGTCAACGACACGGCGTCTCGCGAGAACTACTCACCTGCCATAGGCCACTGCAAGTCCGTAGCCAAGTTCGCCACCCTCGTGAAGAGCTCCAGGCGTCTCTGCGTTGACGTGACTGGGAAAGCCTCCGGGCATGCTGAAGGAGCGAATAAAGTATTCAAGACCCTCCCTTGACATGGGGTATTCTGGATAGAACCTATGGCGCAAAGGTCAGCCCGAATGTCAAAGAAGACCTTGGTTCAGGCCCCACCTGGTGATAGATCCTTCCATAAACAGAGTGGAGAGTATAGCTGGTGCTCCGTGACCGGGCTGTAGCAGATGATCAGCGAGCGCCTGTGACGTGGCGGTGGGCACATACGCCAGTCAAAAACATGAACTCGGGGGCATTCTTCTCTTCTTGGTGGTTGCTGATTAGCAGGTTGGTGTGGGCGTAGACAAAGTTGAGGCCGGGACAAGTACCCTGTATTCTCAGGTCAGAAATAGCGTCATAAATTTCTCATAAATCATGTACCCAGTGGCCAAGGAGCCTGTTCTTGACGTGGGATACCTCGAGAGGTTCGGAAAGAAGACCGTTTGCGTGTAGAAAGATCTGCGCCGCCGCGCTATGGGCATGGTCAGGCTCAGCTGCAGCGCGGCAAGGGAATAGATACACGCACATGTAGTTGGCAGCGCGCTGAAAGTACAGCAGCCCTTCGAGATCGAGGCCGCCCTGCTTCTTGGCTCTGAGCTGGTCGGCCTGGGAGTCGAGATTGACAAGGAGGCTGGCGACGATGTGGTGTGGGAGGGAGGAGGGCTTTGGGGGGGTGACTGCGTCGAGGGTGGACATGGTGGATGGAGATGGAGATGGGGATGCACGATGCTGCCGTGGGGTTGGGGGTTATGTAGTCCATCCCATCTCTGGCCACATCATCTCTACGTCACACCTCCACCGCCTCCACCTTCCTAATCCTTAATCCTTCCTAATCCTTCCTAATCCTTCCTAATCCCATTAGCACATCGCCCACTTATCTTTCCTAATCCCAGGGCCGTGCCTCGTCTCGAAATGTGTATTGTTCTGTCCTCGCTTTGTTGTTCTCGCCCTCGGCATCACTCCCAGTCTGCACAAACCATGGTAAGTGCATATGCGCCCCCAGTACCGCATCACTGAGACTGTCCAGAGCTCAGCATACATTACACTGTCGCAACGGGACACGTGGGCCGACATTCAGCCCATCCAGCAAGATGACGGTCCGGCCCCTGTTGTGCCCATCATGTACTCGGAAGAGTGTAAGCTTGACGGACCACTAGTTACTGGGCCATCTCTGATCCCATGCAGACAGGGACGCCATGGACTACTTTCGCGCAATCTCGGCGGCTGCTGAAAAGTCTGAAAGAGCCTTAGAGCTGACCGAGACCATAATCCGAATGAACCCGGCTCATTACACTGTCTGGTATGCAACTACTATTGTCATGGATGAATAAGCTCACAATCTATCAGGCAGTACCGCTTCGCGACTCTCATCGCTCTGAACAAATCTTTGGAAGAAGAGCTTCAATTGATGAATGAATTTGCGGTTCAGAACTTGAAGAGTTACCAGGTCTGGTAGGCGGAAATCTACATGTCTCTTACGTGACTGACATCCAGATAGGCATCATCGTCTTTTACTCTTGAGTGCCATCTCTCCAGAAGACCCCGCGTTCGAGATCGACTATATCCACCGTTCGCTCTTACCAGACCCCAAAAATTACCATACCTGGGCCTACCTTCATTGGCTATACTCCAACTTTTCTACTCTTGGGAGGATATCGGATGCTCAATGGAAGGAAGAGCTAGCCTGGTGTGAGGAAATGCTGCGCGTGGATGGGAGGAACAACAGCGCGTGGGGGTGGCGGTGGTTCTTGAGGGTCTCTCGACCTGGGGCCGACCTCTCTACGGGCGCTCAGAAAGACGAGCTCGAGTTAGTGGGCATCCTTATCGAGATTCTCTGTGCTGATCAACCCACAGCTACGTGCTCAAAGCCATTCATCACATCCCGCACAACGTGTCTGCGTGGAACTACTTGCGAGGTCTGCTCAAGTCACAGAGTCTTCCTCTCTCGCCTCTTCTTCCGTCTGTGGTTCCATACACCGGATGGGATAGTTTATCCCCCGCGGACCTCGAGTCATACAGCTTCCCCATTCCTTCAGATGTCCTCCCGAAGGACACGCCTCTACCTGTACCCCTTGCTTTGGAATATCTAGGCGACGCCCTGGCCGAGCAAGGCAAGCTCGACGAGGCAGGACAAGTATTTGGAGATCTCAGTGTCAAGTATGATAGAATGAGGGCTGGCTATTGGGAGCTCAAGAGGCGCCAGTGTGTCGAGCAGTAGTCATGCGCTTCTCGACATCGGATCCATCCTCTTGATTCTTGTCACCCTGGACGTGGCTGCATGTAATCATACTGTACAAAACTTCACTCCATCTCTATATATGAGTGATACAAAATTTGAGCCAAACCCAGCCGAGCTATCCCCAAGCTTGAGTATTGCTGAGAGACAAGCATCTCAGTATCAGCCCGTGGGGAGAGAAGCCGCACTTACCTGTAGTTGACGATCAAGTGTCCCTCAGTACCAAACGCCTTGTACAGGTTTCCCACAGTATCGTCAGGGGCTGGTGCAAACGCAGCGTTGATGTAGGTAAACTATGCAAGCATCGTCAGCGGGTAGCATTGCAGAGGGAAACGCTTGATACTAGAGAGTCTTCTTTCTTTGTGCCCAACTGCTGCCGCAGGAACATGATGACAGCCTGAAACTTGTGTCCTGCGGTAGCTTTGAAGACATTGTTCTTCATGATAGGTGCTGCCCCTATAGACTTGAATCGGACGACGACTGGGGGTCAATGTCAGCTTGATGTGTACTAGTCGCTTACTCGCACTTGCCCTTCGCTGGATCCTTCTTCTTGTATTCATCCAGCGCATCTAGGGAGGCAGCTTTGGAGTTTGCATGAGTGCCGACAGTACTGCTTTCTGTTGCAATACAGTGTCAGTGGTGAGAGCAAAGGGCAGCATTGACGACGTGCCTCCTGATGGCTCTTGTCTGTGCGAGAGGAAGCCTGAGCCGGAGGCCATGGTGATGAAGGGGTCGGCGTGACTGTGCTTGGGTGTTTGCAGAGGGATATCGGGTTGAAACGGTGGAATGAAGAGAGACCAGCAAGTGGCAGCAAACGATGAAAGAGGACATGACCGGCGGTTGCGATTTGTTTGGACCCGGCCTTGCTTTTGCCGACGCGCACCATCTTCATGGATCTTGATTATTCTTCATTCTGAGCGTCTGCATCCTCACTGCGGCCAGCTCTAACCACCAGCCTCCCCATGTCCCCGCGTGCAGCCGTAGGTCCCGAGCACTCGCATGACATCTTGCTGACTGCTACAGCACACTCCGCCTCGCACTCTCCCCGAGTTCCTGCGGCGACTCTCCCAGCTTCTGGCCATAGTCCTCGGGGTCTCTTCCGCCGGCTCAGCCATATGGTCCCTGTTTATCCTGCCCCTGCTCCATGCCTCTTTCTCGGCTAGGAAAGCGCTTGTCGACCAACAAAGCGACCGCGCCATCAACATAGCCCGAGCCCTGAGTAGAATCAGGTCTCTGACCATCTATGGGCAGCCGTCCCCTGCGGACACTCCCGCAGAAGGTGGAGAAGAGAAGCAGGTTGACGGCCCATTGGAGAAGATGTCAGACGCTTCCCTGCAAGAGATACACTCCTCGGCGGCATCCGAGTCCTCTCTCACCCGGGACAGCGGCGCAACCCCGGGCCAGGCTGTCTTCCCGCTCTCAAACCTGTCCACTCTCTCTTCTTCTCTGAGCAGACTCACCTCTGCTCTCGAGTCTACATCCACCACCCGTACGTCCCTCATATCCAATCTGGAATCCTACACGTCCCACCTACATCGCCAGCTGTTTGCAGCGCGGCCGGTGGGATCGAAAGGGTTTGGGGGCTATGCCGTTGGCATGGGCAGCCTTGACGCACATTTGAGGAATGAAGGAGAGGTTGAAAGCCGGGGAGAAGAATGGGATGCGGTGAGGAAAGATATCAGGGCGATCAAGGGGATGTTGCTCAATAGAAGGACATCCACGCCCGTAGCCGGTGCCAATAGATCATGACACGCCCACGCATATCGCTGTTATGCAGTAGACCAAGGATGTATGATACATGTAAGGGGGACACAGTTCTACAACTTTCAATCTTACAACTCAATACCCGTTACCCTTTCCAAAGGCAGCGCCCATGGCTCGGCCACTCCAGCCCACTCCTGCGCCTGCCTTGGCGCTCACGGCTCTCAGTCCATCTTTCGCCTGTTCCAGATACCCGAGTCTGGCACTTGCCGGGGACAGACCTTGGCGCATACTGTTCCCGCTGATGTTCTCATCGGTGGGACGCGAAGGTATTGACGAACCTTGTGCGATAGCAGTCGCAGGGGTTGCAGTCGTCAGCGATGCCGGGGGAGGAGAGGTCAGGCGCATGGGGTGAGAAGGTGGCGAAGTCGGAGAGAATAGATCGACGGGGGAAGCAGGCTCAACGAGGATCTGAGAGAGAATTGGATCAGTATCTGTCGGTAGAGTTTTATATGATACGCACCCGATATGGTACGCTAGCATCCTGGGGAACGTCAGTGATACTTTCGTAACCCGCCATCTCCTACGTACGGACGAGCCGGTCAAGGGCGGCACCTGATCCTTATGCTGCAGACAGTATGTTGTGATTTGCATTAGCGCACTGGACAGCGGACTGGCCGATGGCTTTGAGGTCTGAAAACTGAGTGTTATGAGGTGTTCTTCCCAAGGTATGAGCTCCTGCGTAAGGTCAGAGACAGGGTCATGGACAAAAAACGTGGACATGCCTCTGTCACAGCAAACCAACCCTTCTTGGCTTTACTTCGCAGAAAAACCAGAGCCATTTCTCCCTGAGATTCTCCGCTTTCGACGTATCGCAACGCAAAGTCCTCGATGCTGCTGGCAATGTCCTTTTGCATTGACGGGGTTGTCGAGCATGACTGTCAAATTTCAGTAAGCGAGAGCCGGTGCAAGAGAAGGCTATTCACTATGTGAGAATCCAGCAGTTCGAATGTCTCTGCTTCTACAGCATCTAGGCTTCTGTGGAAGAAGATGGCAAGCAGTAGACCTCGCAGTACTCCTCGCACTTGCGACGGGTCGACAGTCTGGTGGGGTCAGCGATGGGACTGACATATGGGTATACTTGCCAAATTTATATGGTTGACTTGATCCATGTTGCCTTGAGGAGACTTGTGTGCTAGTGCATGAGGGTTAGTGAGTGGCGAGTGGGTCGTCTAGAAGATGCAACAACAAATGACAACAATCATCAGACATGGCCATGGGGGTCGGCGATAAGCGCCGCACCGCCCCTCCACTTTTGGCGTCCATCCGTGACATCTCTTCTCTCGACTATAAATCAATCTCCCCCTGCCGAAATCCGAGCATTCGTTCAACATTGACCACCAGCTATCGGAAGAGAATCATCACACCTTTTGCATCCCCAAGCTCCGCTCTTCATATATCAGTAATCATGAAGAATCCGACCCTGAAACATGTAAGCACGGCGACAAATGCGCAAGCAAGACTAACCGCTTGTGTCTCAGTTTATCATGAGAGCAGAGATGCTTCATGCTTATAGAGGCGCAGTACGGTCTACTCGACGTATGTGATTGTGAAAGACGCATGTCAGCTGCTCATGTTTTCGGCAGCCATACCAGATCCCCATACGAGGAGAGAAACCATAGACTTTCTGCGTGCCGATCTCGAAAGACTACGGTTCGAGTACAGCCTTGTAGGATTCATTGATCCTGAGAGGTATCGAAGCTAATCATGGTGTTTTAGGAAGTTTTGGAAGCTCACTTGACGTCCTTCAAAAGACTGGTGAAACAAATGGCGCCCAGTTTTTCATTTACAGGCCTACATGGGAGCGGTACCAAACTTCTTGGACAGAGACGATCTCAGCGATCTCCTCTGAGTGCCCTTTCCAGCAGATAGCCAGAGCGCCTTGCCATTGGCAAGTATTTGAGTTTGTACCCTTTCCATCATAACGGCGACGATCTTGCGGAGCGCTTTTCATGCCACACCTCGCCCTATAGTTGTCACGGCCTGGCTGGGACGCAGCAGGGGAGGGGACTGGAAAAGGTGTTTTTGGAGGGGAAAAGACCTTTTCGGTATTATCGCATAGAGAAAGAGTAGAACAGTAGGATATTAATTGAGTATGTACACCGCGCGTCCTTCAACCATCCACACAACTCAGCACCATGTCACTTCAGGGGATAACTAGGTGTGACAGTAGTCCGTGTCAGCTTTACATGGGCCTGAGAGCAGCAAATTATATTCGAGGCTAAGCAACACCATCAAATATACCCACTAACAGATGGGGATTCATCGAAAACAGGCTTTCCAGGATCGACCTATGTCCTCGCTCCAGATACAATCCTATTATACTGCGTTTTTTTCTGGAGTGCGATGCGAAGACTGCTTGGAGTCCTTACCTATGATGGGTCATATCCAGCATCTAATTGGAGCTATGGTTGCTGGCCTCGCCTTGAGGCCGTGTTACTTGTTTGTACGGGCTGCAAGATTGAGCTTGGTGCCATGGCCTAGCTGGGACGCAGCAGGGAAATGGACTGGAAAAGGTGTTTTTAGAATTACTACGTGTGACACTTGGATATTGCTTGGGACCAGACATGGCTTGCAATGAGCTTGACTTCAATATTGCCCAGGGGACTTGATTTCACCCGCCCATGAGGTGATCATGGGACATGAGCGAGATGACCTTTGGATTCTCAAAGGCAATATGTGACTTGATGCAAACAACGCGCACTATCTTCTCCACCAGCAGCCTGCTACCAATTCTGGACGGACGTGATCATCCCAGCCCGGCGGGCAGCATGTGCCCTTCATAGGACACGCGTTCACAATGTCTGTACTGCAGTCAATCGTGAACTACATTCACTTAGCTGTTGTACTCCGTACCTCTGTTAGTGATTATGTATCGGTATGGTTCTCCTTTTCCTCAATCTGCCTATCATCACTACCAGCTGACTAGGTTGGAGAAACTGCTGAATTCAGCCAAGTACTTCTTTCTGAGATACTCATACTTACTACTACTCCTGTGCACGATTCTCAGCAGGTCATTATGGTTTGATATTCACAGACTTCTCGAGGATATGGTGCACGAAATAAAAGTAAAATGACTGATTTTTTCTGCTCATTTGGTGGAAGGACAATGAAGTGGCTTTGTCCCAAAAGGAACAGGAAGGTGATTCATGAAGTATTACACGTTTTGTAGACAGCTTGATCCCACAGTATCCGGTCAATGTTGAGATGATCCATTATATTCAAGCATGGTCGGTCTTATGTTTTTGTTGCGTGAGCATCGACATTGCATAACTGTAGCAGTAGTATACTTGTACAAGTTAAGTTATGTGCGTGGGAGCCTTTAGAGAATGTTGTTCTGGACGGCAATTCCAGTATCAGCCTTTGCTGCTTGACCCGTTATAGTAATAATGAAATGCTTGATGACTGTTGAAAGAAGAGAGCCACATACCCATCCTCAAGCATAAGGAGTCTGATGAAGCCATCGATTTCATAGCTATCATCTTCTCAGCAGCAAGATTGAGAATCTATTCCCCCTTATTTAGCAAAATCTGTTGCCACACTTCCGACTAGAGCTCATGCTTGCATGTAGACAGAACTGGCCTGATTTCAAAAGTGAATCAATTCGAAACCAAGTTACATATATGCTAGTTCTGAACCAACAACAAGTACTCGAAGGGCTGCTTAAAAGAGAAGGCGTGGTGTCGGATTGTCCGGAATTCATTCGATAGTATTGTGAGCAGAACACATATTGCTCTTGTTCTATGATTATATGTATGCCACACCTTGGTTCGTCACAAGCGACATACACCGCCTCAAAAACCTGGTCTTCGAGCAGTGAGCTCCAGGGCAAAGTTCCGCCATGAACCCCAGAACTTTTGGAATGTGCGGGACTCTACCTCAGCTCAGGCGATGCACTAAGTCTGTCATGGTGAGGCGTAATCATATAGCGGCGTCAGCAATCAAATACATACGCCAAAAAAAGGCCGGACTTCGGTGTCTACTCGTACTTTACAAAGGACTACGCGCAACATACTGTGACACTGCTAAATGTGGCTCATTACTCTGGTTAGACTATGCCGATGCATCTCGACCCAAGCCATCGACAGTCTCAGAAAGACTAGAGAGAAAAAGCAAAACAAAGCAGATCAGCATTATTGCACGGCAAGCCGAGATTGGATTAAGAATAAGCCGCGGTACCGCCCGCCAGGCACACGGATAAGAGGTGGATCTTGTTGCGGTGGCGGCATGACGTTGGAGCTGTGTCGCACATTGCCGCTCCCGTGGTGTCAGGTGATACCCTCTTCTGGCCTGACGCGACTGATGTTGGTCTTCAAGAACTTTGATCAGCTGCATCAGAGTTTAGCGTCTTATGGTTGGGTACTATAAGTGGCCACATATTTCACGGGTATGTCAAGGTCATGCTGCAGGAGCTGCATGCGGCACAGGCTGTGAGCTGTCTCGTCTTGGAAATCTTGGTGAGAGGCAAGGGGCCAAGAGAACGAGGCAGCAGGCAGCAGCAATCGGTGGGCCTGCCTCCTCGACCTGCAGGGCCATGATGATCGGAAAGAGCTCGAGAGTGGCACCACGCACCACGCCATCGCCTGTATTCTATAGCGCAGTCGCACGTTGCATCATGTGCATCATTCATTAACCGGCCACCGGAAACGATGATGTACGATATGGATGAAAAAGATGCGAATGATTTTGAGAAAAAGTACGTGATGATGCTGTTATGGTAGGCGGTATATGCGCGGCCCGAATGGCAATGGCGGGGCGGGACGCCCAACAGCCAAGCGCGTATGGACTGCGACCAAGCTGGAAGAAGGCCCGAAGGTTATAGCCAAGTGTATGGCTTGTTGGTTTGGGCTCCTCGAGGCATATAGTTTGACAAGTGCAGGCCACACAATACCGCAATGGCCGAATGTGTCCAGCCCAGGGCTGCGATCAGACTTTCATGCAACATGGCCCTCGAGGCTCGGGAGGCTATGTCTTGGACGGTGGAGCCTGATGATGGAATGCTCCTGATTCCGTGACATTTCTACGGCTATAACGGTCGCATATACGAGATCTCATATTCATATGCGGTAGGAGTCGCGTTTGCATACAACAAGCTAGTGTCGGGAGCCCTCGATAAAGTTCCACAGGAAAAATATCTGCTATGCATCATCGTGATCAGTATGCCGGCTATCAGATGTTCCCACCCATATATCGTCATTGCTCTCGCACAGATATACATAGCACGCTCTGCATCCATGCCCCCTGCATCACCCTGTGCACGACGCGACAGACACAGACAGCGCCACCTGACAACGCACCTATCGACCATCAACCACACTCGAGCGCACGAGCTGTCCCTGCAGAGTGCAGAGTGTCCATACGCACTGCAGTCACCCTCTCGTACCCGTCGCAGAGAATCACAACAGTAGAAACGCGAGGTCAGTCACCCGGGATGGCCTGGAACGCGTGCCCTCCTTTCTGGACGTGACGTGCGCTAAATGCTCAGACAGTTTCACCATCCCCTCGCCCTTATAAGTTATAACCCACCTGTGCCATTTCTATCTCCATTTCTCATCCACATCCTAACTCCCACCCACCACCACTCCTCCCTCTCCCTCCCTCCCTCCCCCTCCCCCTCACCGCCCTCATCATGTTACTCTTAACCACACTCCTTGCCCTGCCCCTCGTAGTCAACGCACTCCCTGCCCCCGCCGCCAGCCCTGCCGTCGAGAAGAGGTCCGTCAATCTGGGATGGGATTATGGACAGGAGAAAGTGCGAGGCGTCAATATTGGGGGTGTGAGTTGCCCCGCAAGGGCCCCGGCTAAGTTGCTAACAATGCGGCCTCAGTGGTTGGTCCTCGAGCCGTTCATAACGCCGTCCATCTTCGAATCGACTGGGAATGAAGGCATCATCGACGAGTACACTTTCTGCCAATACCAAGACTACGATACCGCACAGAGTGCCCTGCAAAATCACTGGAACACGTGGTTCACCGAGGACGACTTTGCTAAGATTGCAGGTGAGATCCCTTGTTGTGTGATACACGCATCCCCCCACTTACGCGATCTCAGGTGCTGGCTTGAATCACGTCCGCATCCCGATCGGCTACTGGGCATACGACGTACAAGGCGACGAGCCTTACATACAAGGTGCCGCCGACTATCTCGACAAGGCGATCGGATGGGCGGGTAACCACGGTCTGAAAGTGTTGGTGGACTTGCACGGCGTTCCTGGCAGTCAAAACGGATACGATAACTCGGGACAGAGGGGAGATGCTCTTTGGTGAGTTTGACTTTTTTCTTTTTTTGCTTTGCGAACACGCTAATTGTGCACCAGGGCAACCGATTCCAACAACGTTGAGCGGGCCAAGAATGTCATTGCCACTCTTGCTACAAAGTACTCTGACCCCCAATATTACGGTGTGGTCACTGCTATCGCCTTGTTGAACGGTAAGTCCGATCTTGAGGATGAGAGCATACCTGATCCCTTTATTACAGAGCCCGCCACCTACTTGAACGACGAGCTCCTCTCCACCACTCGACAATACTGGTATGATGCCTATGGTGTTGCAAGATACCCCTTTGGCAACAGCGATAAATCTGGCTTAGCTATCGTCATCCACGATGGCTTCCAAGATCCCTCTACTTACAACAACTACATGACGGAGCCCGAGTATGAGGACGTTATTTTGGACACCCACAACTACCAAGTCTTTAACGACGAGTATATGACTTGGAACTGGGACCAGCACATAGCTGTGAGTTTGTTAAAGTGTGTTGTCATTGAGCTAACTGGTCATAGGGTGTCTGCGACATGGCCAGCACTTACTCTGCGGCCGACCTTTGGCTCATTGTTGGCGAGTGGTCTTTGGCGAGCACTGATTGGTGAGTGAACTCTGATCATCGACGGAGCCAAGCTGATAGACTCGGCAGCGCCAAGTACCTCAACGGCCGTGGCATCGGTGCTCGATACGACGGCTCCTACTCTGGCTCTAGCTACGTCGGCGACTGCTCTGACAAGTCCAACGACGCCTCTCAGTACTCTTCGTTAGTAATCCACTGATTCATTCAGCCACCGCTCACACTCGTACAGCGAATACAAAGCCTTTATGCGCAAGTACTGGGACGTCCAGACTCAGCTGTACGAGGCCAACGGCCAAGGCTGGATTCATTGGACTTGGAAGACTGAAGATGCGTCTGACTGGGGTTACGAGGCTGGTATCGATGGTGGATGGATCCCTGCCGACGCGTGGTACCACGACAGCCCGCTTTCATCTTACTGTGGTTAGATGGACGCTTACGTGACTACCCCAAGGTGATTCTATACACCTATAAACCTTATATACCCCCAAGATACGGGACAATATTCCTTCCGGACTTTATGATTCCCATCATCTTGTAGATAGAAAGTAGCTAGTCAGAAGAAACACGCCCAATGCCAAAGCATGGAGCCCAATGCATTTATCCTCACCATGCCTTGTACCAAGACGCGGTGGTGACAGCGCCAGGAGCTGTACAGACCCATGACTGCGGGTTGGAATAGATGAACCCCTCCTCGCTCGAGGCGAGGAATCCTTCTGACACCCGGGGGGTGCCTATCGGGTGGTCTCCAATTTGGTCAGCTGGGGGGAGTGAGGTGAACGTGATGGAACGGGCGAGTGGTTGGGGGAAGAGTATGGCGGAGCGGTGCATGAACTTTGAAGCGTCAGTCGATATACTCGCATGGCTAGGACAACTCACTTGCACGGTCTGCCCTTCCAGCAACGGCTCTTCCGTATCAAGCGACATGGCGCCTCTTCCGGGATCTCCACTGACAATGCGCGTCACCCTCTTCACTTTGCCCCCTTCGAGGAAGCCCAGGAAGAATTCTTCCTCTTTCGTGAGACCAGTCCCACCTCGCTGCTGGATAGCGCTGATGAGGAGTTGCGTAGGGTTGCTATTGATGCCGTCGATAGCAAGGAGCATGTTGCCGCGGGCGCTGGGCTGGGTTAGTCGACGGCCTGTCGTAACAAAGAGGGCTCACGAAGTGATGGTGACGGGTTCTACCATGGCAGACAGCCCAAAGTCTGTCTTGGTGGTAGGATTGCTGTTGATAGCTAGACCAATCGTGCCCGACTGGAGGATCTCCTTGTTGTACAAGAGAGTATGGGGACGGTTCGTGATGAATGGTGTAGGCGCAGTGAGCAGGCCCGTCTGTGATCTCGTCAGTTCTCCTCGTGGTGGCGACAAGCGACATACTTTGGCAGCGGCTGGGAACATGCTATCCAGAGCACTCAGCACAGGTGCAGGCCGAGAATCGCTGAGCAGCAAGAAACTATCCGCCTGCACGCCTTCCAAACCTGCAATCTTCTCCACATTGTTCTCCCCTTTCCATATACTCTCCCAGCCCTGACCGAAAGTCCCCTCGACATCACTCTGCGTGCTACCTCTGAGATCTTCGGACCTGGTCTCGCGCTGGCGCTCTGGTCTCTGAAACCGGCCTACTTCTGCCGGTGCGCGGCCAGAGAGCTCCGATTTGAATAGTGTGATGTCGGCATCCCAGAAGGTTGCAAGGGACAGGGCAGGCTCTGACCCTGGCGGAGAGACACAGAATGATCCTATCGACTGCGGTGATATGCCTTGGACAGCTGCGAGATGGGCGGGGAGGTCGGGCAGAGAGGTGGAGAGGAGAAAGACAGAGGTCGAGTCGGGAGGTGCGGGGTGGCTAGCGAGGTGGTCGCGGAGGAAAGCCGGGGTGGGAGAGTAGAATGTGTGGGCAGTGGTATGTATGCCCCTTGCTGGTGGGCGCAGGAGAAGTCTGGGAAGCATGGTGTGGGACGACAGAGATGCGATGCGATGGAAATTCAAGATGGAGAGGCGGGGTGGAGGCAGAGTGGAGGCGGGGTGGAGGCGGCACGTGGCAGGCATGCAGTAGTATCCCTCGCTCTCAGTCCATCTCAGTCTCCCCTCCCATCCCGGCACCCCCCGCTGCCCGCCGCCCATGCTGCTCCTGCCAGCGCTCCTAGGCGTGCTCATATCGGCACTGGCCGCCCTCGCAGCAGACCCTCAGGTCACCGTCAACCGCATAGAGAACCTCCCAAACAGGCTCTTCTACTTTGACGACACCCCCGTCAGTCCCAGCCCTACCAGCCCTACCAGGAGGCCATCACCCGCTGACTCGACCCCAGGTGGTCATGTACCATGATCCCGCGATGCTCACCGTCCATCGCTCAGAAGATGAAGGCAAGACGTGGGAGCAGATCACCGGTCCTATAGAGGGCGAGGCCATTCGTCTCGTCGAGCACCCCCACAACAACGAAATGGCCTTCATCATCGGCCGCTATACCACCCACTGGGTCACCTATAATCGCGGAGCCACTTGGCAATCCTTTGTCACCCCTCGTGACGCAAGCCTCGGTGGCAAGACCCTCACATTCCACTCCGGACATGACGACTGGATACTGTTTCAGGGCGTCGCGTGCGAGAGCGGAGGTTTTGGGAAATGGGGAGGCAAGACGTGCTGGGATGAGACATTCTACACGACTGACGCGTTCCGATCTGAACCACAACTCCTTCTCAGTCAAACGTCCCAATGTATATTCGCTCGCTCCTCCGAAGCCTTCGTCTCGGCCCCGGAAAAACTCGTCTTTTGCGTGGCCTTTGACCAGAGCCAAAAGCCGGGGAGCGGGGGAATGCACAGTATCAAGGAGAGCAGGCTATACTCTTCCGAAGACTGGTTTGAGAACAAAAAGTTTGTCGACCTGGGTATTGGAAAGAGGGCGAGAGGTGTCGTTGGACTCGGGGTCGTTTCCAAATTCATGGTCGTCGCTCTGAATGTTGCCGATATGGGAACCAAAAGGGCAGGTGGCGGTGACCCCATGTGAGTTGTACTTGTTTCCTTGTACCAAATCTGACTCTGGATAGGGCACTCTATGTCTCTACAGATGGTCTCGAATGGCGACAGACCCAGTTCCCACACTCTGCACTCCCCGACCTCAAAGAGAACGCCTATACTATTGTCGAATCTACCACCCATTCCATTGCTGTCGATATTCTCACCTCTCCCTCCGCCAACATCGGCACCCTGTTTGTCTCCTCCGGCGAAGGCACTTACTTTGTGGAAGCTCTGGCGGACACCAATAGAAACGAGTATGGGATCGTCGACTTTGAAGGCCTTGTGGGGCTCGAAGGGGTAGGAATTGCAAATGTGGTCGCAAACAGGGAGGAGGTTGTGGGGTGGGGTGAACCGAAAAAGATCAAGAGCAAGATCACTTATGATGATGGGTCCAGCTGGAAATTCTTGAGCCCGCCCGCCAAGAACTTGAATGGCGACGATTGGTCGTGTGATACCTCTGATCTAGTGAGTAGCCAAGCGAGTGGAGGGGACCATGCTGACAATGCTGCAGTCAAAATGTTCTCTCCATGTCCACTCTGTCTCGACGCCTCACAACATTGGTCGCGTCTTTTCTTCTACCGCTCCGGGTTACGTTATGGCCGTCGGGTCGGTCGGTGAAAGTTTACTTTCTTATGGTAAGCTCCATGCTGAACGGCAGGTAACCCAGCTAATCTTTGATAATCTTTGACAGACGACTGTGATACCTTCCTGTCCACGGACGCTGGTTTGTCTTGGCGTCAAGTACAGGAAGGAGCGCACAAGTACGAGTTTGGTGACCAAGGGAGTGTGCTTGTCATTGTGGACGATGAGCAAGCTACAGACCACGTCCACTACTCTTATGATGGTGGACACACCTGGTGAGTGATTCCATATGCGATAGACACAACTGCTTATCCGCACCAGGACACAACTCGACCTTGGAGTCACCGTTCGCGGCCTCGTCCTCACTACCATCCCCGACTCGACCTCTCAAAAGTTCATCCTCCTCGGCACCCTCCCCCGTAAAGATTCAGGTGGCGGCCGGCACGCCATGATCCAGCTCGATTTTGCCCCACTGCAGACACGCCAGTGCACCGATGATGATTTCGAACGTTGGTACGCCCGCAGTGGCGAGGGAAACGAATGTCTCATGGGCCACAAGCAATGGTACCAACGCCGCAAGCTCGATGCGCCATGCTACGTCGGCCACAAATTTGAAGATCCCGTGGGGCACGAAGAGAACTGCGCCTGTGCGGACGAAGACTACGAGTGCGACTTCAACTATGTCAGGCAAGATGGGGAATGCGTGGCTGTCGGCCCAGAACCAGTTCCTCCGGGTACTTGCAACAAGCCAGATGGCAAGTATCTGGGTTCGTCAGGATACAGAAGGATTCCTGGAAACACTTGTGAGAATCGCTCAGGTCAAGCCAAGGACAGTCCTATCAACAAGGATTGCTCCGACGCCCGACCAGAGAGCGGCAGTCCCTCCCATGTCGTGCACGAATTCGAATCCGACATCATCTCGCACTCCTACTTCCCTCTGTCGCAGACTATCCTGATCCAGCTGGCGGATTCTACGGTGTGGCAATCAAGCAACGAGGGCTTCTCTTGGAAGCAGCTCTATGAAGATGAGACTTTCTTGGCGGTGATTGTTCACCAGTACAGCCCCGAGAGAGCCTATCTGCTCACCAACACGCGCAAGATCTACTACACCACCGACACTGGGCGATCTTGGAACACTATGAATGTCCCCAACGACCCCAACACGTTAGGTATCCCTATAATCGATTTCCACCCCACAAAACCCGATTGGATCATCTTTACTGGCTCTATCGACTGCGATGATGCGCTATCCACCTCATGCAGGGCTATCGCGCACTATTCGACAGAACATGGAAGGAGGTGGAGGAAGATTGACGAGTATGTCAGGATCTGTGCGTGGGCCAGAGATCAGCGGTTGAAGATTGATGAGCGAGAGATCATTTGCGAGAGTTACAAGAATAAGAAGGGGTCACAGATATCCGGAGACTACAATCCGATGGAGTTGATCGCTGGTGGCAGCTATTATTCAAAGAAGAACAAGGTCTTTGATTCTGTCGTCGGATTTGCGAGCTTTTCGGAATACCTTTTGGTTGCAAAGGTGAGTAATCCAATCTTCAAGCGGCACTGGCTAATCCTTCATCAGCTGAACGAGGATCAAGGAACCTTGTCGTTACAAGTGTCTTTGGATGGCTACCACTTCTCCGAGGGACAGTTCCCACCGAACATGAAGATTGAAAACCGCGTATGTACGCCTTCGAATCGCGTGACTTTTGCTGACTTTACATCAGGCTTATACCATCTTGGAGAGCAGTACCGATGCCGTCTTTTTGCATGTCACCATGCACTCCGGCCAGAACAAGGAGTGGGGAAGCATTTTCAAGTAAGATATTTGGCTCTTCGCTTGGACATTGCTAACTTGCACTCAGATCCAACTCGAATGGTACATACTATGGCCTCTCCCTCGATTACGTGAACAGAAACACGGCAGGCTATGTCGACTTTGAAAAGATGATCGGTCTTGATGGTATCGCGGTCGTCAATGTCGTCGTGCGTAATCCCTCTTGCATATTGCACGGAAGCTGATCCTTGTGGCAGAGCAACCCTTCGGAAGCCGACATATCTGGCCGGAAGAGTATTCAGAGCCGGATCACCCACAATGACGGTGGTAGCTGGAAGCCATTGAACCCTCCCGCAAAGGATTCACTAGGTCAAGAGTACTGGTGCCAATCTACCGTGAGTGACTTTTTCTCCCGTGAAGCATCTGGTTGATCCCACACAGTCTTGTTCCTTGCAAATACACGGCTACACTGAGCGCAGAGATCCCAAGGCCACTTATAGCAGTCCTTCTGCTGTTGGCGTGCGTACCATTTCGCCCATTGTGACGTCCGCGCTGATTTCAAGTAGCTCATGCTTGCTGTTGGAAATGTTGGCGAAGAGCTCGCCACATACACGGACTCTGACATCTTCCTCACTCGAGACGGTGGTTACTCTTGGGAAGAAGTCCACAAGGATGCCCATATGTGGGAATTTGGAGACTCTGGGTCTATAGTCGTCCTTGTCAACGACGAAGAGGCCACCGACCACGTCTTGTATACCTTGGATGAGGGCCTGACTTGGCAAGAGTATGCTTTCGGGTCGCCATTGAGAGTCAAGACCATCCAGACTGTACCCGACGATACCTCCCGTCGATTCTTCCTCATTGGATCTTCGCCCTCAAACCCATCTTCATCATACCTTGTCCATCTGGACTTTTCTGTCATCACACAGACCAAGTGTGAATTGAGCATCGAAGACCCTAACCACGATGACTTTGAGCTCTGGTCTCCAAGTGAAAGCCGAGAGGACCAGTGTCTGTTTGGTAGGCAGACAATGTATCACAGGAGAATCAGGGATAAGAACTGTTATGTCGGGGAGAGAGTTGTTCAACCGAACACCATTGTAAGGAACTGCACATGTACTGCTTCCGACTTTGAATGGTAAATCGTCTCGAGTCTGATGAGGCCGGGCGCTAATAATCCTCATCAGCGAGTTCAATTATCGTCGAGATGCCTCTGGCAATTGTGTTCTCGTAGACGGCGCTGTGGCCCTGTCTTCGAACACCGAGTACGAGCAGTGTGACGGGTATACCGACTATTGGTATGAGCGAACCGAATACCGCAAAATCCCCTATTCTTCATGTGAAGGGGGCGAACGGCCAGATCAAGGACGTCGACACTCGTGTCCAGGTCTCATTGTGGGCGGAGTCCGACGCGGCGCCTTGTTCTGGGGATCCATCGCCATATTGCCATTCGCCATCGCCGGCTTGGCAGGATACCATTACTACAAAAAGGGCGACCAGCTCGGGTCCATCCGACTGGGCGACCATCGTGCTTTCGGGGGAAGCGGCGGAAGTTCAGATGGGTGGGTGGCTGTGGCTGCGAGCGTGCCGCTGTTCTTGGTGGGCGTGGCGCAGGAAGGGTGGGCTTGGGTGGTTGGCAAAGTGCCATTCTTGGATGATCTGGTCACGAGACGTTCAAACTATCGATCTGTACCGATTGATGAGGATGCGGAGGTTCTGGGAAATTACGAAGACGAGTAGTTGATCAGAAGGCATAGATTAGGCAAAAAGTGCTGTAAAATGCATGATACAAACATAGAAATTCCACTTGGGCTGTCTCATTGTGGCTTTGCTGAGATCCATTTTTGATGTCTTTGTACCAGCTCTTTGACAATCAACTCTTCAATCTCGACCTCGCCATCCTTGCCACTTCCTCCGGCAGACACACCAGCTTCCGCTGCACCCTCTTGTATATCGTCCAGCTTGAGCCACGTCTCCCTGAATTGGTCATCTCTTGATCTTTCCAGCGGGGGTGTGGACGCTCCTGAGATGGAGTCGTCTCCTCGGATGGTGGAAGACAGAGGCTCGACAAATACGACTTCGTACTTGCGACGGTGAAGCTCGTTACCGATGACGAGCTGGTGGCCATAGCGAGACAGGGCAGCGCGAGCCTTGGGTATCAGGAGCTCTGCCTCCGTCTCAAGCTGTATACAAGGGTTAGAGCTCTATCCGATACGAGACGGAAAGACGCACCTTGAAGCTGACAATGTAACCCTCCGGCATCCACTCCTGCACCAAGGGCTTCAACACCTTTGGCACCTGGTCCATCTCCAGCGACAACGTGCCCTTGCCGCTCTGAATCTTGTGCTCGGCAATCTTTTCGTCTGGCAAAAAGAAGTCTGACACTGCGGCGGCCAGGTAGAATAGCCCTCTGCGTCCCAAGGTCGCCATGATCTCTGTCACACCTCGCAAGAGCCACAGATACTCGTTGATCGTTTGAAAGTCGATACTGAGCAGCGTTCCTTCGTCCTGGACCTTGTGGTAGGCCTGAAGGATAGGGAAGAGTTCTTGGGCGACGGATGGTGAGACGGTGATGGACTGTTCGTCGGGGTTGGTTGAAGATGGGACGAGGGAGAGGAAATCGAGGAAAGAGTGAAGGGAGTGAGAGTAGTGCCGGGAGAAGGGCCGGAGGGAGTGTTGTCTGTGCATGAATATCACGGCATATCCCTGGGACAAGAAGTACTCTGCTGAGGTCGCCCCTCTGGTACCGGCTGAAAAGTTGTCGAGGAAACGAACACTCGAGGCTTCAAGTCAGCTTGCAGATCATCATCTCGGCAGCGATTACACACGTATTGGCCTCCAGGGGAACGGTGGTGCCGCCACTCTATGCGGGGTCAGTTGGCGTTGCAAGAGGGGGCCGTCACTCACGGTGACCAGGACGACCTTCTTGTCCTGAACAGCCAGCCACTTCTGGACGAACTGTAGGACGGCAGCTGTCTTCTCCTGCGTGCCACCCGGCTGCTGCTGGGTCTCAAAGTATGACTCTGTGGAGAATGTGGCGGGCATGGCGGGGCGGGGTTGTCTCTGGCACTGTCGAGATGGATGGACGCGACTACGGTCTACGAGTGACCTTCGGGTATTTTCCTATTGGGCAGCGTCGGGGCTCCGGTGCGCATCTCCTCTTCCACCAGCCATGCATGCCCACAGCCCATGGCGTCTGGTTCGCTGCAGGGGGCGGGGTATGCATGCTGGAGGGCATACCCCTCAAGTCGCTCGCCGCGGGAGCAGCGCGTCTTCCAGAGATGGCTTCGCGAGACATCCCGCCGTGCTTGACTTCTTATGCATCCTCCATCCCATCCCCTCCCTCGACCGCCGTGCCCGCCGCCCCCACCCCTCGGCGTCCCCCAGTACAGCACAGCGTGACAGCGCTACACTCCCCCCACCCTACTCGTACCGTCTGGGTCCTCATCCCAAACCCAGCGACGAGTATATCTTGAACATCTTCCGCCTTCAGCCCACATCGCCCCTCATGCCTATCGCAACCCTTCTCGTACAGTCCGGCTGTATGTTTGCTGCCAGCTTCATCGTCGGCAGCCTCCCATTATGGTTCAAGTCTGCAACATCTGGTGAGCTTCTTAGCAACCGCCTGACTCTTGCTCACTCCCACAGGCCAACGCTTGCAGATCGTTTCGGTGCTTGGAATGGGCCTTCTCGTCGGAGCCGCACTCACCATCATCATACCAGAGTAGGTCTGGCCCTCGTATACGTGTTCCCAGTTGACACGACAATCAGAGGAGTATCGACCCTCTATGCAGCTCTACCGCAAGATGGTCACGATGGCAATGAATCTGCTATTCACGCCACTGGAGTCAGTCTTCTGGCCGGGTTCTCTTTGATGCTCTTGCAAGTCCTGCCAATTGTCCCGCTGATCCCAAGCTGACCTATTCTAGAATCGAGAGTCTCATACCACATCCACCCAGCCCACCTCCCCAAGCCACAGACTTTACCTATCAATCACCCCCGAGCTCTCCTGCTTCCTCGGCACCCACACCACGTCCTTCAGCGCAGCACCTCAATTCGTCAACCCCAATGATCTCCAAGCCAAAGCGCATGTCGGTGGACGACTCCGCGAGCGAAGGTGCTGCTACAGTCAGCGCGGTACACGGACTGAACGCCACACTGGGACTGGTCATACATGGCGCCGCAGATGGCATTGCCTTGGGTGCGAGCAGTCTGGCGTCTAGTAACAGCAGTCTCGGGCTTGTCGTGTTTCTCGCTGTCCTCATCCACAAAGGTGAGCATGGCTCAATTCGGATGCGACGCCCTCGTTTACCATATCCCACAGGACCAACTGCTCTGGGACTCACGACTACTCTCTTGTCTCTCTCCCTGCCCTTGTCGTCGATCAGGCGACGGCTCATGATCTTTTCGTGCGCTGCTCCTGCTGGCGCCATCGCTACATTCTTGCTTGTCAGCGCGTTCGGTTCTGGCAGCCTGGGCGGTAGTAGCAATGGAGGCGATCGTCTGGGCTGGTGGACTGGTATCGCCCTGCTCTTTTCTGTAAATACGCATACGATACCTAACCGTTCAACGCTGATGACCCAATAGGGCGGATCTTTTCTCTATGTCGCCACCGTCATACAACCCATATCCTCGGCTACCGACCCCCATGCCCACAGCCACAGCCATCACCATCCCGAAAGCGGGCATGGCCCAGAACCGTCAGGCGAGGACCGTAAGCTGGGCAAGTACCAACGGACAGCACTGTTGATGGGCGGGATGATCCTGCCAGTGGTTTTGAGTTTGTTTGTAGAGCACTCGCATTGATAGGCAGGTGACGACGTGTGACAAGGGCGGAGCGTGAAAGAATGATCTCGAGAGACATCGAATGTACGAATAAGCCATCATCATAGAGCTCCATGCGCAATCATAGTGCAGGTTTGGCGATACAATACATGCATATCAAATGGTTTCGTGTGCACAGGCCATCCCAGATACGACCCGGAGAAAAAATAAAGCGACTCTGTACGATACAGGTAAATATAGACTATTAAAAACTGCGAAAAGAGCACAAACCAGCCAAAGTTGATATAGAAAAAAGGAAAGAAAAAACTATGACATGCCAACTAATGCCTCTCGCCCCATTGCACACCGTCGAGCATTCCCATGCGGTCCGTCCGCTCAAGGTCTCGCATACTCCTCATGAACCATCTACACATAACGTCAGCTGTAACACTTTCGAAAGACACGTAAACTCACCCATCCGTCTTGGTCCTGACACCTTCAAACACTGGCGGATTGACCGCCGGAGGCTCAAGGATGGACGCATCATCGAGCTTTTCCTCGGCACCATACCCGCCTGTGGCCTTGGAAATCAAGCTCGTCAGGCCCTTCTTGACACCACTGCCCTCCATCGGAGCCACCGAGTTGTCTGAGCCGCCCGTGCTGGGTCGGATCCTCTGGTTGAGCGGGGCGACGGACGAGAAGGAACCGAAAGACTTTTCATGCTGCCCGGACTCGGTCGTGTCGGACCCGATAGGCGAGTTGGGGAGTTCACCAACTTGATCCACCCCCCTGGCCGCATCCACATCAACCAGCAGACCCTTGTTGTGCTTGCTCATCCTGTTGAATTTGGAGAACGGGTTGACTGTCGGCCCTGAAGACTTTTCATTGTCGTAAGCTTCAATTTCTGCCGCCACGTCGGTGGGGACAAGCGGGTAAACCCTGTTGAGATCGGCACCGGTGGCCCTCGAGAACTCTTGGTACGCCCTCGCACGGAGGAGCATCGCCTGGGATTTAGCAAATAGGGAGAAGGGCGTGTAGACGAATGGCGCAGGGGGCTTGTCGGTCTCGTGTCGGCCCGACAGGTTGGGCGCCTGAACACCGGAAGCACGGGACTGGACGGGTGTGAGACGGGCGTCGGGGGCAGGGAGAATGACTTCAATGACGACCATTTGCGCTGGCTCTTCGGCGTCGTTCTCCGACGCGGGGATCTCGAGGATCTCAGGGGAGAGGGTAGCGATCTGCAAGAGAGTCGGCCAGCATCGCAGGGCGGTGACAAGGGCTTCAATAGATACGGCGAGCGCGGCTTGGAATTCGTAAAGCTGCTCGTCGACCTGCGAGTTGAGTGACTGTCCGTCGTCGGCAGACTCGGCAATCGCGACGGCTTGGTTACAGCGCTCGAGCAACTCGCCCATGGTACAGTTGGCCAGCTGGCGGATCCAGGCAATCATCGCAGGCGACATGGGGTATTGGACATCCGGCAGACGGTAGGCAGGGATCTGGTGACGGGCAAAGTTGTAGACCAAGACATCGAGATTCTCCCTCTCGCCGGTCGGTCGTACACCGAAAAGACCGAGATAGGCACCCTGGCTCTGCACGACGGGCCTCGTACCTCGCTTGGCATACGTCTTGCACGCCGAAAGAAAGACGTCCATCTCTTGCTTGGAGACACCAAAGTGGTCGGCCATGGCTTTACTGAAGAATCGGGTCTCAGCCATACGGTAACCGCGAGAAGAGTAGTGGTCGACATTGTCGACTGATCGCAGCTGTTTCTTGTCGGCGCTGGGATTGTCCCACGCCGAGGGGTGGCCACTGCCGATTTCTCGGACAAGGAAGATCATGACACCTTCAGAGTTTCGCAGACGGAGGGTGACACCGTGGATCGAGCTCTCATCGTCGCCCTTGAGCCCGCCCTTGCCCTCCTCGGCAGACTTTTCCTTGTTGGGGTCGTCCGCCACAGGCACTTGTGTTCCGGTAGTCAAGACACGGTCAAACATGTAGCCCAGGGATTCGACAGACAGGTCGAGCTGTTGCGCGAGCAAGACGGAAGCTTCAATGAATCGGCTTCGGAAGAGGAGCGTCTCCCACGAGTTGTTGGGCATGCCGCGTTCCATGGGGCTCGCACGCTGGACTTTGCCGCGGGATCGGTCGATGACGGAGCGGAGGATACGGGGAACGAAGGGGGTGACGACGGACCAGTTGAAGGAGAGCTGGTAGAGCCACTGGAACGTGGGCTGTCGGGGGTCGAGCTCTCGAAGCACGCGCTGTGAAATGTTTAGTTGTGCCAGAGTCTGGTTTGAGTGGACTCACCTGAAGGTCGGCATCGGTAGAGATGACCTGCATGGGAATGGTACCGTCATTCTTGACCAAAAGCTTTCCGGTCTTGTCGAAAGAAGCACTGGCAACCACAATGTTTCTGGCCTTGTTTCGGATCGATCGACGAGTCAAGGCGTCGAGCAGGGCGATCAGGAAACAGATAAGCAGGATGACACCGCACATGACAGAGATGGCGACGGCGAGTTTGATACTCTGACTACTGTTACGTACGAGCTGGTCGGCGTCCGTCGTGGTTGTGGTCCTGTATGAAGTACCACCGAGACCGAGGTAGTGCATACTGCAGATTGTTAGCTCTGGGCGTTAGTCTGGGCATGTGACTCACCCGCAGACTGCAGCAGCCAAGACGATGGCACAGAGACCACGCTTCCACCAAGAGTCTTGCCATTGTTCACGCAGACGGAAGAAGAGGAAGAGTGCGACGGTCGCGGCGAGGACGGCCAAGATGAATGCAAAGACGACGGTGACCGCCTGGGTCTGTCAGCGGTGCTCTGTAGATCGTGTAGAATGGCTTACAGTATACGACACGGACAAGTTGGGAAGCCTGAAGGAAGCCGAGTAGTGCATGAGACAAATCGTGCCGCCGGTGGTGACTGCAGAGTGTGAGCCGGATGTCCCGCACAAGTATTCTTTTACTCACTTCCCGAGACAATGACACGCCATACGGAGAATGCCAGTTGGGAACCGACGACCCAGAAAGACAAGGCTGTGGCGACCATCGGAACGAACAGAGACATTGTGGTCATACCAGGGTTGAACTATCGGTAGCGTCAGCACGAGGACTCTGCGTGGATCGTGTGACTTGCCTGGATATACCATGTAACGCTGGGAGAAGCCTTGAGCCGGATAGTTGTCATGGACAAGAAGTGCATAGACCAGACGGCGGTTGAACTTTTCTCATGGTCAGCATCGACCATGTGTGGGCGCGAGGGACGCACCTAAAGACGACGGCGGCGAGGAAGAGAAAGATGTGGTTTGTCCAGCCTCTGGAGCCGGTTCGCCTGCCTAGGACGAGGAGGGTGGCGTAGGATCCGAGGATGGAGACGATGACACTGGCGACGAGGGCGCCTGGCTGGGGGTGGATGGGGATGGCATGGTTCTGGTAGTACTGCATGAGACCATCCTGGTCTGTGGGGGGTGAGCAGGGGGAGGGGGGGAGGGGGGGCAAGGGGGGACCCTTACCATTCCAGATGTCCTCGGGGGGCCAAACCATTTTCATGAGCATGGTGAAGAACAGAGATGGATTCTGGCTGCTGTACCGTCAGCATCACGGTGCGATCAGACGATCAGAAACGTGATGGGACCTGAACATCCCCTCCCTCCCCCGTCGCGAGGCAACCTCAGCGGGACCTCTTCGGGAGGGCTCACACACCGAAAGCAGGGGTGTCGCAGAAGATGGCAGGGGACAACGTACGGCGAGTATGTAGTAGAGCAGCCAATCCAGTCGGGCCAGTGCCTCAGGCAGTGCTTCTCTCCGGCGACGTGACGACGTAACGGCTTGACGGGCTTGACAGTGTCGGCCTGGGGCAGCGTGCAGCGGTGCAAGATGTAGATGGACAAGTGAAAATGCACTTCGCCATTCATCCGCCTCGGCCCCCAGCTTGGCAGCCCAGGATCAATCATGCAGGAACTCGAGACTGATCCTGCAGGCCATCCTCTAGTCCCGGGTACATAGCCTCCCTTAGCCTTTCCCGAATACCCATAATCATTTACGCCCAGGGAGTCAAATTCACGCACCCCAGCGCCGAGTGCCGAGCGCGATAAAGATTGTCCAGGGTAAAGAAGGGCAGAGACAAGCTTAGATCGTCTAGTCCCAGTCCCTTGCTCCCAGTCCTTGCTTCTTCTCCTTCTCCCTGGCCTGTTCTGCCTGCATCCTGCAGCTCCTGCACAACTCGACGCGCTGATAGGAAGTTACGCGTCCAGAACCTGTCTAGATACGAGGCTGAACGCGCTATGCAGGGTCTATGTAAGACTATCAGTGCGTGCTGGGCATGAAGTCGGTCTTGTCTAATTCAGAGATCTGGGCGGTCGTCATTCCGGGCTTTTGCTCGCTCGCATGATGAACGAACAGTCTCATCGTCCACCTTCTTGAATAATTATGGAATCTTTGACCCGCCTGTGCCCGTTGTACCCGTGCCGCCACGGCCGCCACATGCCCCTCTCCCGCCAGTTCTTCCGCCTTCCCACTCCGCGGAACCTGGCAGAACCTTCCCAAAAGTCTCAGCCCCTCAATTGGAGAATAATGGGGCAGAAGCTATGACGGGTTCTGCGGAAAAAAGGGTCGATTCACTCGATCGTAATCAACGGGAACAGACTTTGCGACATAAATTTCGAGATATATTTTGGTGTCCACTTTTACAGCGTCTTTATCTCCATGGAGCATGGAGGCCACAATAATAAGCCGTGGAGCGGTCACTGGCTATGTACAAAGGTGGAGATATGTACTGGGGCCATTCCAACGGCATACAACAGGCGATGCCCAAGGGCATGAAGGGGTATCAGCGCAGGAATGAGAGGTACGGGGGTCATGCGTCGAGGTCCTCGAGGACCTTGGACCTTGCACCACCAAACTCTGAACTTTGAGAAGCGTTACTGGGGCTTTTTGATTCCGGGCCTTCACCGCAGCGTCAATGCGTCACTCAACATCCTCGTCAACATCCTCGTGAGCAGTACATAAAGGTCGAAATGCACTCGTCGTGAATCAATCAGCATATACATATATACATCGGCCATTCTACCTCTGACAACAGTGCACCTAATTCCCACCAATACCCAGCCCGGTACTCGCGCTCCCTCCAGTGCTCATCGCCACACTCGCCGGCCCGTCTGTCGACACCGCCCCCGGATGACCTCGAGCTGTCAGCCCTGCCGAGGGATTAGGTGTCCCTGCAACAGAAGGCGTCGTAGCTGTCGCTTTCGTCGTCCTGATCTGGAATGTACCTGTGAAGAAGGTCAGCACGTCGACCATTTAGAGAAGCCGGACGGACATTGAGGGAGGCCAGAGGATTCGGCAGTGACGACGGAATGCATGCCGAGCCTGGTCAATGCACCCTGCAAGAGCGCTTGTGGGAAGAGCAAATGCTACGCTTCATCAGCTCCAGTGCATGAAACAGCCTGGACAAGCCACAACTCACCGTCTTAGCAGTCTCCATGTCGGCCGCTGCACCTCGGTAGCTCGACAGCCCAGCGAGCGGGGGGAAAGAATGGGATTGCAAGACGTACACCCCTCGATGGTTTGTCCGCAGATTGTCGATCTGTTTCGAGTAGACATAGAGAAAGAGCTCCTTGCACACAAACTTGATGATATCCAAATGACTTGCCAGAGGCGGTCTTGCCAACGTAAGCCTGTGCCCCTAGTCAGCTCTCGAGCACAGGCAGAGGGCGCAAGCAAGCGCACTTTTCAGCAATAAGGCCCCCAGCCATGAGCCCTATCCGTTCAATCCGCTTTGCCAGCTCCTCCTCAATCACCGTCTCTTCATCCTCGATCTGCGTTCGGGGCGGTAGCAGCCCTTCGCTCCGGAGTTCCTCCTCCTGCGCCCGTCGCTTCCTGACGACGTGCGTTGAGGACTGCCGCAGGAGGTGGAGGACGGGGGGCAGGAGATAGCCTGGTAGCTGTGCGTCGATGAGGGCGGGGGCAGGGTTTGCGAGCTGGTGGAGGGCGGGAGGAATGGTGGGGGCGATTGGGAGGTGGGTGGTGGAGACGGAGGAGGGGCGGGACATGGCGGGGCGTTGTACATCCCACATCCTACATCCTCCAGTGCGTCGTTTAGTAGTGACGCGGTGGGCGGCGGGGTCCGCCTCTAGTCGGATCCGGCGTACAGTTGCATCTCATCTTTGTCTCATCTTGATCTCATCTCCCATCTCCCTCTGCATAGGCACCCAAACACTCTCCTATTCTTCTTGAAGGTCCAACGTCTTGTACTATACATAATGGGTACGTCCTCCCTCCTCCTGCCGTCGCCACAGCTCACCGTCCCCTCCAGGTATCCCCAAAGTGGGTAACTCGTAGCCACCTTGGCCACTGCTAATCCCTCTCGCAGTTTTTCAGGTGGATCTCGGAGAGGTATCCTCTTACCTCCCAGCTGATCACTCCCAACTCCATTCCCACTTTCGACAATCTTTAGTGAGTCCCGATCAATGTCTGTAGTAGCCAGGCAGCTAACATCAATCACAGCTTGGACATGGTTCGTCCCATCTACTATCTCTGGACATGAAACTGATGCTCTACGCAGAATGGTATCATCCACAACTGCTCCCACCCTCCCTCCTCGGAAAATGACCCCCATTTCCGTATAACGGAAGAACAAATGATCATCGCTATTTTCGCGTATATCGACCACCTATTCACCAAAATCAAACCCCAGAAAGTATTCTTCATGGCCATCGACGGCTGTGCGCCTCGAGCCAAGATGAACCAGCAACGAAGTCGACGATTCCGAACGGCGCGGGACGCCAGGGAGCAGCGGCTCCAGGCAGAGAAGAACGGTGAAAAGCTCCCAGAGGAAAAGGCTTTCGACTCGAATGCCATTACGCCCGGTACGCCATTCATGGCGAGGCTCTCTGAGCACTTGAAGTATTACGTTAGAAAGAGAATATCTGAAGATGCCGACTGGCGAAACATCAAGGTCATCTTTAGTGGACACGATGTACGTGTGGATCCCAACTCTGAACCGTGTCGTACTCACACTGTACAGGTTCCCGGAGAAGGCGAACACAAGATTCAAGAGTTTATTCGATTGAACAAGGCTCAGCCAGACTACAACCCAAACACTAGGCACTGTCTTTACGGACTCGATGCCGATCTGATCATGTTGGGCCTTTTGAGCCACGACCCCCACTTTTGTTTGCTGCGTGAGGAAGTTGTCTTTGGCCGCAAGTCCAAGAAGAACACCGAGTGAGTGTTTCATTGACCCTTTGTAGCATGCTAATTTGTAGACTCGCGAACGCAAACTTTTTCCTTCTCCATATCTCGCTTCTGAGAGAGTACCTCAACCTAGAGTTCTCGTCGCTCCAGCACGAGATCCCATTCGAGTACGACTTGGAGCGTATCATTGATGATTTCATCTTGATGGCCATCTTTGTCGGAAACGACTTTTTGCCTCATTTGCCCGACCAGCACATCAACGAGGGTGCGCTGGAAAGGATCTGGGGATACTACAAGGAATTGTTGCCCACTATTGGTAAGCGCCTTGTCTTTCTCTCCAGTTCAAAACTCATTCTCTCGTAGATGGGTACCTCAACGAGCACGGGACAATCTCTTTGCCCAGGTTGCAGCTCTTGCTTGATAAACTCGCCGCGTACGAGACCATGAAATTCGAAGAAGACCTCCAAGGTCAAGTGCATTACTCTGGTAATCACACCAAAGACACTGTTGCTATAGAAAAGGCACGAAAGAAGGGAAAGAAGGGCAAGTCCTTTTGCGCTTGGCAAGTATGGGGGCTGATACAGAACAGTGATTACAAAGTACCAGAAAAAGATACTCGACCAAATTCGCACATTTGTGCAACAACATCAAAAGAAACCCACCGATACCAAACGCCTCACTTTGGTAGACACCAAGGACCAGCGTGACAACGCCTTCATCCAAGAAGTTGGTGACGAGCTACACCTGCGCGTGACTTGGGATGAAGTCGACGACTATGGACAGAACGTGATTGCCCTCACATTCGACATGGAGGGCGTCAGCCAGAACGGTAGCGCAAAGGGTGAAAACGATAGCGAAGAATCGGAAACCGACGAGGAAGACGAAGGCACTCAGGCCATTCAAAGGGTCTTTGCCAAGTGGAACAAGGCGGTGATCGTCGATACCTACCCCGAGGAAGTCGAACAGTCCATGGACGCCAGGTTGAAGGAGGCGATGGACAATGTTAAAAAGACTTACTACCATGTGAGTACTGCTCTATTCTTGAGATGACGAAAGCTGACTTGTGCCCAGGACAAACTCGAAATCAGCTACGAAAACCCCGCAGACATGCACGAAATCGTCCACCACTATATCGAAGGTCTTCAGTGGATCTTAAACTACTACTACAAGGGTGTCTCTAGTTGGGGATGGTTCTACAAGTATCACTACTCTCCCCGAATCACCGGTATGGCTTTTGCTACCTACCACGGCCTTTTCTGACGTTTCGCAGACCTCAAAGGCATCGCCGACATGAAGTTTGAATTCGACTATGGAAAGCCATTCCTCCCCTTCCAGCAATTGATGGGTGTCCTTCCTGCCGATTCTCAAGAGCATGTGCCCCTCGCCTACCGAGATCTCATGTACGATCCCACATCCCCCATCCTCGACTTTTATCCCAAAGACTTTGAACTGGATATGAACGGTAAGAAGGCTGATTGGGAGGCTGTGGTCAAGATCCCTTTCATCGATCAGAACAGATTGTTGAAAGCTATGGCCGGTAAGTTCTGCGTTCTCTCGCTGGCGCAGCGCTAAACACCACCAGCTCGCGACCATCGTCTTACCCCCGAGGAACGAAGCCGAAACCAGAGCGGTGTTCTCAGTACCCAATTCGTCTTTGATGGCGAATTGGAGGAAAACTACCCCTCATCTCTGCCCGGAAGCTTCCCCGAGCTTACCCGGTGCCACTGCAAAGCGTCACCCTTCAACCTGCCTACATTGGGTAACGGGGTTAATCTCATTCTTGGTCTTCTTGACGGTGTCCACCTCGGTTCCTCTGCCCTTGCTGGATTCCCCTCTTTGAACACCATCCCTCACCAAGGCGCCTTGGGCTTCCATGGCGTCGTTGTCTTCCAAAGTGAAAGCCGAAACCCGTCCATGGTGATCACCGTCACTGACAAGGACGAGCGACCCAAGACCACCGAGATTGCTCGTGCCACAATTGGCCAGAGGACCTATCACACCTGGCCTTACCTGCAGGAAGGTCTCGTCGTGGCCGTGTCAGATGACATGTTCAAGTGTGAGGTACAGCAGATGGGTCATGTTGCCAAGATTGTCCAGTCTCCTCATCACGGGGCGGACGCTGTCAAGTGGAAGAGGCAGGCCGACAATGTGGAGAGGCATTATGGCAGGAGGTACGGTGTCATTACTGGACCGGTAGAGGTCTTGTTACATATCAGGCCACTCAAGGGTTTGTCGCGCATCTTTAATATTGGATTCCAGCTGACATTGCATAGGCTTGAAGCATCTCGACAACGGAGCTCTGATCAAGGATTACGAAGGTCCCGAGAAGGAAATTGTACAAGCTTACCAGATGGCTGTCTCCAACGTGGCCTTTGAGGACGAACGCTTCCTCGTACGCTCAATGGCACCCCGAATGATCATCAACTAACATGCCCATCAGGAACAAGGTCCACCAGACTTGAATATCGAGTATCCCCCTGGAGAAAATGTCTTTTTCCTTGGTGATGTCAACAACAACTATGGTTGTGCCGCCCAGGTATCAAAGATCAATGACAAAACCCAGACTTTGGACATTATTCTCGCCGTAAATCTACAACTCTATCGTTTCTCTATCACGCTAATATCTTCTAGTACTTTGAGGGCGAATCGCGCGACAATTTGGCCTTCCGCGACCTCGCAACCCAGCGTCCTTCAAGCAAATGGTGGCCTTCTCCTACCCTCAGTCGCCGTCTGGGCATCTCTGCTCTTGCACTCTCTCGTATCACATCCACGCTTCTGGTGCAACTCGAAGATGGCTCCAAGACCAACATCGGTCTTCCTCTCAAATTCGAGTCTCGTGGCTTGAAGGTCCTTGGCTTTACCAAGAGAAACGACAGAGGATGGGAGTACAGCGAGAAGGCTGCCCAAGTGCTCCAAGAATACAAGGAAGCGTTCCCCGAGGTCTTTGCCAAGATTGAAAACAGGAGCGGTGATCTGGCTAAAAGTCTGGAACTTTGCCCCAGTGCGGACGACCCGGATGGTGTCATCAAGGCCATGAAAAAATGGCTCAAGGAGCGCGATTTGGTCGATTTCGAGACCGTTTCTCTGTTTGCCGACCAGCTTGAAAAGGTGAGTTTCGACCTGCCCATGACTTGGCTTGTACTTATAAGTATCCCCAGGAAACCTGTGAGGCGATCGAAAAGCTTGCCGATCATTTGTATGCCCACAAGGCTCAGTCTCAGCAGCAGATCAAGAAGCAGCTCCTCAGATCTGTTCCTCGACAAAGTCTGCTCAAGCCGGCCCAGTCCATCTATCGCCTCCAAGGTCAAGTGTTTGAAGTTGGTCACCGAGTCATCATGGTCCAAGATCCTGCTGCTGGCGGTGTGCCCGCTGGTATGCGAGGTGTCGTCGTCGGATTGGGCGCCAAGTCTGTTGATGTTATCTGGGACACTCCGTTCATGGGCGGCACTACCTTGCAAGGCAGATGTTCCGAGTACCGTGGCTCATCTGTGCCATTCTCGTCTTGTCTCAACTTGACCAGAAGGCAGTTCATGATTACGGAGAGCTCGGCTCCCAAGCCTGTGAGTCAGTCGGCCTTCAAGCCTCAGTTCGGGCCTCGTCCCGCTGTGCAAGGTCCAAACTACCAGTCCTCGACTGTCGCTCGCCAGCCCCCTTCTGCGGGCAACAAGACCTTGTTTGACCCGAGCAGTGCTGTCAAGCCCGTCACCGCACGCTCCGGTGTCGCCATCGTCGGCACCAACGGGCATCTACACTATGGCAACGCCGCCAAGGGTATCAAACCCGAGGTAGAGGCCCCGCAGCACGTCAGCCATAGAGACCAGATCGCAAACCTGCTCGGCGGTGGATTCAAGCTCAGCCAAGCACCTCGTCCCCAATTCAGCCATCCTGCGTCTTACGCCCCGGCTCAAGGTGCTGGAATTCATCCGCCCGGCAACGCTTTCGCCCATCCCCCGCCTGCGTTTGCCAACCGCGGTGGACCGCCAGCTCGAGGCAGGGGCAGAGGCAGAGGCGGATTTAACCCCGCTGTCAACCCGGCAGGCACCCATGTGCATACCCCTGCTGCTCCTTTCAACGGAAATGTCGCATCTCAAGCTGACGGTGCTGGTCGCGGCGGAGCCAGAGGGAGAGGCGGTCGAGGAAGGGGTGGATTTGTGAGAGGCAGAGGCAGGGGTGGTGCGAATGGGGTTGCAAATGCGAACGGTGGCCAGTGAATATAAACAGATACATTAGCAGCATACATATATATCGATGGGATGCATGGTTCATAAGGTCTACAGAACGGAAAGTCATGATCAGCACGCCACATCCGGAAATACGGCGTTATGACGACGCGCACTCTCTCACTCAGTGCTCCGCTTCGATGTCGATGTGATGAGGTCCTTGCCATCGCCCCCTCGCCGCCCCGTCGCCGCCCCTCGCCGCCCGTACCCCCCACCGATAGCACTCCAACACCGACACCCCGACCCGCCCCTGCACACAGGCCCCAACACCCCCCTTGACGGCCTCCAATATGTCTGCCAACGACGATGTCGATGCCTGGGTCGCCCAGCTCATGCAATGCAAGCCCCTCAGCGAGCCGGAGGTCAAGAAGCTGTGTGACAAGGTGAGTACTCGTCAGAATGAGCTGTGGGGCGAGGATTGGGGTTGTCTGCAGGGAGACGCGTGAAGAGCGAGGTGGCCATCGGGGTCTATTAGAGGCGCCAGCAGGGCATCAGGACAACAGAATGCCAAGCAGGCGAATGGACGCGGCTGTATGCGTACGATGCGGGAATGGGGAGCGACTCGTTCTCGACACCATCCTGCCGAATGGTGGGCGTGTTGTCCTCCTTTCTTGTTGGCGCGTCGAAAGCGTTCTGCCTTTGGCGAGATTCAGGCAGTTGAGAAATACAAAAGCACCGAGCTAACCATCACTGCGCTTCTCTTCCTTATCCCATCTCATTCGATACGCCCACCCATGACACGTCGTCACGTCCTTCGCCCCGCCAGGCTCGAGAAGTCTTGATGGAAGAGTCAAATGTCCAACCAGTCCGGTGCCCAGTCACCGTGTGTGGTGATATCCACGGTCAATTCGTGAGTCTAGAATCGCGTATCGCCCAGACGAGCACTTGCTCATGAATATGCCAGCACGACCTTTCAGAGTTGTTCCGAATTGGCGGCAACTCTCCCGATACAAACTATCTGTTTATGGGAGACTACGTCGACCGAGGATACTACTCTGTCGAGACTGTCACCCTTCTCGTCGCCCTCAAGCTGAGGTACCGAGACCGTGTCACCATCTTGCGAGGAAACCACGAATCGCGTCAAATCACCCAAGTGTACGGTTTCTACGACGAGTGTTTAAGAAAGTATGGCAATGCCAATGTGTGGAAATTCTTTACCGATCTGTTCGACTACTTGCCCTTGACAGCTTTGATCGACAACCAGGTGGGTAGTCTTGACTTATGTGATGTCGGTACTTATGATTGTCAGATCTTCTGTCTTCACGGTGGCCTGTCACCCTCTATCGACACCCTCGACCACATTCGATCTATCGACCGAATTCAGGAGGTTCCCCACGAGGGTCCTATGTGTGACCTTCTTTGGTCAGACCCAGATGACAGGTGTGGTTGGGGTATTAGTCCTCGAGGAGCTGGTTATACTTTCGGACAAGACATCTCGGAAGCCTTCAGTGCGTAGCAGGCTTCATCCACGTTGACTATCTCTAACATACATTCAGATAACAACAACGGCCTGACGCTGGTTGCCCGAGCGCATCAGCTGGTCATGGAAGGATTCGCTTGGTCACAAGACCGAAATGTCGTCACCATATTCTCTGCGCCCAACTACTGCTATCGATGTGGTAACCAAGCCGCTATCCTTGAAGTGGACGACGCTCTTAAATACACGTTGTAAGTGATAATCTTGTCGCACAGAGTCTTGGCCCTGATCAAGCTTTAGCCTTCAATTCGACCCTGCCCCTCGAGCCGGCGAGCCCCTTGTCACCCGTAGGCCCCCAGACTACGTGAGTCTATTGTCACTTTCTGCAGCAAGTTGCTGACTCGGATGGCCTAGTTCTTGTAATCATATGACGACACTGTCCACAATCAATCACCGTAACAATATCCTCTTCAGACACAATATACCCATAGGATCGATTCTGTCAATCTGTTCTACCCTCTTTCCACTTCTTTTCCGCCTTGCTTTCGCATCTATATAGTAGAGATTTGACACAGTAGACGCGCACTGCTCAATCGGTGGCTTTTCCAACATTTATTTCCCATTCATTTCTCTTCGCCTCTTTTCTCCGTGTCTGAGTGTATAAAATTGAAAAGTATCAAAAGAAGGTGGCGGAAGTATCAAAGTAGTAGGCGGTACACTCGTACAGGGATCCCAACAGTCACATTGAGCATGCAATCTCCCCGATAGTAGACGGAAATACAGACTGCGAACATGAAGAGAGTAGCGCTGCGGTGGAGGCCTCGAAATCCGCGTCGCGTCGACTTGGTTATTCTTGCTGCACTCGTTCATCTCCTGCATCCTCGACAGCATCCGTGGGCATGTCCCGCCCCACCACCCCAGCATACACCGTCCGCCGCCAGGGATACAACTCGTCCCTCTCAGCCTCAGCCACAGCATCCACTTCGAGAACCGGCACCCCTGCTCCTCGAAATCCCGTCATCTCTCTCGACGAGTGGGAGTCCAAAGCACATCTGAGCGATGAGCAGCTCAGTAGCATAGGGGCCGTCAAGAACCGCTATGCAGACCGCCCACTGCCGGCCAAATTCGGCGGGCAAAGCACTCGCCCCTCGACCCCTGCACAGTCGTTGACTGGCCCACAATCTCCCAATCCTGCCCTCAAAGACTCTTTGTCTAGCAATACTGCCTCTCGCCTCTCTTCCTCGATCCCAGACCCCCTCCATCCATCGAGCATCACGACTCCCCAGCAATTCTTGGACCATTTCACAGCTTTGACTCTGTCGACAGAGCACGAGCAAGACAGTCTCTATAGAGATCATCTCGCGGAGATAAGCGGCCTCAGAGAGAACTGTGAATTGCTCATAGAGCTGCTCAAGGGTGGAGAGGAGGAGGTGCAGGAGATGGAGAAATGTTTGAGTTATGTGGAGGAAAGGAGCGAGAGTCTGAGAGGGGCTTGCGAAGACCTCCTGGAGGAGCAAACTCATCTCTTGACTCACACGTCTCAATTAGCCCATCGATTGACGTTCTTTACGTTCTTGGAGACGGCTACAAAGATGCTCAACAACCCAGGGAACGCCCTTGTATTGAACCCGGACTTTCTGCCTATGGTGAAACGACTGGATGAGTGTATAGGATACCTCAGCGATCATGTGAGTATAAGGGCCCGAAATGTAATATGGTGCGCTGACTACTGTCGTAGCGAGATTTTAGAGACTCTGAGATCTACCTATTACGGTACCAGCAGTGCATGACAAGAAGTATGACTCTTATCAAGCTCTACTTTGTCGGCACTATCAGATCTATTGGCCAAGAAGTCGGCAAGCGACTCACCGACCAATCGCTTTCCGAAACGGCCACTCAAGCTCTCATATATACAAAATTCACATCATTATCTACTTCTCTACGTCCTCTACTGTCAGAGCTGGAGCAGAGAGTATCGACGAACCCAGATGAACTGGCGCCCTTGTTGAGCGAGTGTAACGCGGCGTATGTTTCGACCAGGCGAAACCTGATGGGCGGCAGAGTGCATGAGGAGATCGGCCGTATGAAACCCAACGGCAGCGACTTGGTCGATCTCGTGAGTGGTGCGAGCTTGGACAGATTCCTAAGCTGACTATGTTGCAGACCAGAGCAGGGTGCGGTTACCTCAAGACCACTTGCATGGACGAATTCCTTCTATACAAACACTTCTTCCTCTCTGGCGAGGCTCAGCTCTAGTGAGTCAACTGCAGCATCTGGTGAGCTTTGCTGACCAGATCACAGCGGCTTTCTGGAATCACTGTGCGACTACCTATACGACCACCTTCGCCCTCGCATCTTGCATGAGCCGTCACTCCAAGTCCTTTGTGGTGTCTGCACCGTACTCCAAGCTCTGATGGTCCAAGATATTCCAGACGAGGATGAGGATGACGGTTTGGTGTTCCATTCCCCTGCTGCCAGTCCCGGATCGCCCTACTATGGAAACGGAGATGACTACTTTTCCTCCAAACCGCGTCTGTATCACACTGGGTCTTCCCGCAGCATTTCTCACCAATCGTCCCGGCGCCGTGCGTCCAGTCTTACAGGTAATGGCTCACCGCGTTCGCGTGCCGGGTCTTTTGCTGGGTCTCCTGGGGCGAGTACTGTCCACCTGCCACCTCCACCCAGGAAAAAGACAAGAAGGCCACTTCGGCGGCTACACATTGAAGTCTTGCTGAGAATGGTATTACAAGATGCGCAGACGAGATTGGTGTTCCGGGCTCAAGCTCTGCTGAGCGCAGAAGTAGAATACTATGCTCCCAAGGAATCTGATTTGGACTATCCCGATAGATTAAAGTCTGGTGAGGCGTTTGTGATCATCCTATACTCGTGTCATGCTTACCATGTCAACAGGTCCTAAAGGCAACAAGCTTGTACCTCGCCAGACAACGGTGTCTCTTAACGCGGACGACGAGGACGATACGGCTGTATTTGAACTTCCCTCGCTCGAGGTGCAAAACAGCTGGTACCCTTCTCTAAAATCCACTCTTTGGGTTCTGTCGTGTCTTTACACGTTTGTGGACAGTGCTGTGTTTGATGACCTCGCTCAAGAAGCGCTCATCGCATGTCGTAAATCCTTGGCGTCTGCCTCTGACCTCTTGTTGGCCAAGCAAGGAAAGGAAAAGAGCATGGACTCGAAATTGTTCTTGGTCAGACATCTTCTTATCCTGAAAGAGATGACAGCAGCCCTGGATCTGGGAAAGACCCGGCGACGAGAGTGGAGTGGAGTCGGAGGTAGGTTGAGACTCAGACTCTGCAAACCATATTCTGACACATTGTAGATTTCCTACGGTCCTTGTTGGACAATGCGTCGTCTCTTTTGGGCTACCAGAGAGGCTCGGTGGCCAAATCCGCTGCATATGCTCCTGACGCTAGAACCGATATCGATCGTTCTCTCAAGTCTGCCTGCGAGGACCTCATCTCTATTCTCAGCGTCAGATCCACTTTTCCTTTGCAAGGCTTTATTGGCCAATGCTCTTCCTATCTGGCGAGAGCGGCCAGCTCTACTACTTCTACCAGAACCGACCTCTCTGCGCAAGCATTCGCCAAGCCAGAAAAGGTCAAAGAGGTACACGAAGAGTTCAAGAAGATCAGCGTCAAGGCGGTAGAAGATTGGAAGAGGGAGCTGAGGCTGTACTTGCTTGACAAAGAGACTGTTGCTGTTCTGATGCCCCCGGCTCTTGTAAGTTGATTGGAAGACTCGGTCGGGTTCCGCTGACCCCTTTAGAACTCAATTGTGGATACGTATAGACAATTCCATGACCTGATTAGAGCAGAGTACGATTTTGCGGTTGCTGCTGGGGTCATGACTCCATCGGGAGTGAAGAGCATGCTTGAGAGTACGGCCTAGAAATGAATAGCATCTAGTGTACATGGCCCATGGGGCTACAGAGCGGGGCCACTGTTGTATTGTTACGTAAGGATATATGACGCGCTGGGTCCTGTTGTTGTCTTTCACTTGACATCTTTTTGTCTTTTTCTGCATTCCCACGAGCAGCTCCTTCTCGCGGCCCAAAAACGCATACAATGCCCCCTCTCGTACGGCGCTCGCCCAAGGCCGCCCTCCCCACCCTCCTCTCCCTCTCCAAGCTCGTCGGTCTCGTCCCGCGCGCCGCCCAGCAATGGTCTGCAGCCTCCGGCAACGCGCCAATCGAGCCCGAAGATCCTCCCGACAGCCCCGTATTCTGGTGGAAGCTCGGTCTTAGTGCAGTGCTTGTGCTTGCTGGTGGTTGCTTTGCTGGGTGAGCTACCTGCTGCAGGTTGCGAGAGGATCGCACTGACGCCCGACAGATTGACTCTTGCCCTGATGGGATCTGACGACCTTAATCTCCGAGTTCTCTCTACTTCTTCCACTGACCCGAAGGAGAGGCAGGCCGCCAACAAGGTGCTGCGGCTACTCTCCCGCGGTCGTCACTGGGTCTTGGTTGTGCTGCTGTTGAGTAATGTCGTAAGTCAGGCTCAAGATCATGTGGGGACAGCTCACCAACTATCGCAACTCTCAGATTGTCAACGAATCTCTTCCCATCTTCCTGGATGATGTCCTCGGTGGTGGATTGTATGCGGTCATTGTTTCTACTACTATGATTGTCATCTTTGGCGAGATCATTCCACAAGCAGCAAGTGTATCCTGAATCCTTCATCATGGCACAGCTGAACCACTCTAGGTATGCGTTCGTTATGGGCTTTTCATTGGAGGTACCTGCGCACCTGTGGTCTGGGCTTTCATGATCCTCTTTGCCCCCATCGCTTGGCCCACGGCGAAGCTGCTAGACTATGTCCTTGGCACAGACGAGGGTCACACGTGAGCCTCGATTCAGCATGTCACTGATATGAGCTGATTGGAAATACAAAGTTACAAGAAGGCAGAGCTCAAGAGCTTCTTGCAATTCCATCGTGAGGGCGAAGAACCCCTACGAGATGACGAGGTATGTCCTCTCTGTTCGCTGGCCACGAGTGCTAATGGGTCATAGATTGCCATTCTGAACGGTGTTCTTTCTCTAAACGACAAGCATGCCAGCGAGATCATGACCCCGATGGAAGACTGCCTGATTCTCCCTGCCGATCGAGTCCTGGGTCACGAAGCGATCGACGAAATTCTACTCTCTGGCTTCTCCCGTATTCCCGTGCATGAGCCAGGTCAGAAAGACAACTTCGCTGGGATGCTTCTGGTAAAAAAAGTAGGTATATTCATACATGGCTCTCAAATGCTGACGAGAGATGTAGCTTGTCTCCTACAACCCTGAAGACGAATGGCCCGTCTCCAAGTTCCAGCTTCTACCTTTACCCGAAGCCAGTCCCAACATCAACTGTTTCCAAGCCTTGGACTACTTCCAAACCGGCCGCGCCCACTTGCTCTTGATCAGCGACACCCCTGGACAGAAAGGAGGCGCGTTGGGCATTGTCAGTCGTAAGTTGAATATCTGTTCTCGGTGGATCTGGTATGCTGACTTATTGCATTAGTCGAGGATCTGATTGAGGAGTAAGACCTGTGTGTATGATTACACATGGAACATGCTGACGCAGCCCCCAGGATCATTGGCGAAGAAATCGTCGACGAGACTGACAGATATGAAGACAACCATTCCAAGAAGGCCGTCAAGCGTGCTGGCACTGCTGCCGTCATGCGCAAGTCTTCCCACTTCCATCATCAACGTCCGCTGACAAAACTCGACAGGTGGCATCATCGAACGCCGTCGAGTCCTCAACGCCTTCAGCCGAGTTCCCTCTCGAGGAGAGTCTCAAACACCCCAAGTCCCCCCTGGCGGCCCTTCCTCCTCGGATGGCATATTGGTTCAGATCAACGACGGAGCGCTAGTGGCTGAGCCCGTCGGCTTGTCCGAAAACGGCGCAAATGCTTCCGTGAATCCTGCAAAGAGGCTGGTCATAAGCACTCCCGCAAGTGGTCACATGAGTCCTATCACTGAGGGCTCCAGCCCTGATGCTGTCATTCCGGAGCTCGCGAAAAGCCTTTTGAAGGCGGAAGAGAATGCTCAGGCGAACGGGGAGGGAAATGGGACGCGCGTAACGAGGAGTTAGTTGACACTTTACACCAGCACCATCATGTATCCATCTGCTCATGTTTGATCTCATAACGCATAGCTTTGGACGAACGCGGACAGACAGAGATGTTTCCCGATCATAGAGCCTTCGAGAAAGCGTGTAGAGCGATGGTCAGCAAATATCAACACATGACCGGCACTCTCGGCCCGCAACGGACTAATAGAGGATGGCAATGGAAAGAGCACAAAGTGAGTATCTGTCGTGTCTTCCTGGCTCTACTGATCCCCCTCTAGTGGATGCCCAATCAAGGCTATCTCTATCGACATCTCACTTGCTATGTTTCCCCGTCCAGTCTATCGTCTGAGTCTCAGCCACTCGCTACAGATTCTACCAGCGAGCGAGACTTGGAGGAAGAAGACATGGAAGAAGCAGATGACACTGCTCTCCTGGCCGGCGAAGACGACAAGCCTGTCAAGGTCGATATCGAGCAACATATCGTTTTTTCGGCCACTTACAGGGTGCCGATGTATTGTTTCCGAGCATGGGACGAAAGTGAGTGGATGCCTTGTTCTGGACCAAATGTGGCGCTAATCCCAAGCTTGCTCAGCGGGAGCTCCTCTCTCCATTGCTTCTCTTCTCAAACTTAATATTCTCCACCCCGACACTCCGGCTGCACCGTTACAGTTTGGCGAATACGGTGCTGCTCTTGACACTCTGATGCTTCCTCCAGACCCTTCCTCTCCAATGACAGACGAACAGGGTCAACAACCTTTTCCCCTCGTTCAGTCTACAGAGCATCCCACAACTGGGCAGCTGGTCTTCAGTGTACACCCTTGCAAAGTCGGTGGCGCTGTTGATGAGGTACTCGTGGCAGAGTGTAAAGATCAATGTGGTGATGGTGGGCCATTGGCGTGGCTTGAAGTGTGGATGATGCTGACAGGAAGGGTCGCCGACTTGAGGTGTACATAAAACAACAGTTCAGTTCCAAAGTAGCATGTCCATAGCATGATGTTTCATAGTGTTTATTAGCATTGCGTGTGTCAGGAAAGCTCCCAAAGCAGTCCGAATGTATAAATGTTGCATTGATCTTGCTCATCCATACATACTACAAAGACGCACATCTATAGTCTTGCTTGACTTGGTCGAGGCTACATTCTAGAGGCTGCATGACCGTCAGTCAGATAAATGGTATTGCTAGGTGAGAATACTCACCTTAGGCCTCGCATTATAGCGTATCCTAGTGTCACGATGACAAATGTTGCCAATACAGAGGACGCGATACCATTCTTGAGGAAATCGGAAGCGCCAATAAATCTCTGGCCGAGCTTATTTTCTTGAGTGATACTATGTACAAAGGTCAGATGGGATGGACATGAAGTTCAAAGAGACTTACGCAGTCATGTTGGGGAAACCAGAAACGGGCAGGCCCATACCTGCCGAGCAGATAAGAGCTGTAGCCATGATAAGTAACCTGGGGTGGGGCTCGTCCAGCGAGTCCCCAATTCGCGTGGCGATGGGGACAAGGAGGACAGCAGCAATTGTGTGAGAGATGCTAATACCAGAGTCAGCTATGTCAACTTCCGAGGCGCCATTAGAAAACTCACAAAGTGGCAATGACAAGCGCCAAGATAGAAAAGACAATCAAGATCGAATACAACCCCAAGCCCTCAACCAAATGCTCGAGCACGCTATCTAGCATATCGAGCAATCCGGACGAGAGAGTGGCCTTACCGAGAGCGATACCGCCCATGGCAAGGAACACAATTGACCAGTGGAAAGAGTGAAAATCCTCTTTCGACAAGATTCCAGTTCCAAAGAAAGCCAGCAATGGGATGATGGCAATCACTCCCATATCTCCCACCCAGTCCTCCATACTCTTTTCGCCACACCAAAGCATGATTGTTAAGCCGCTAACAATCAGCACATAATAGTGGGTCATGGTCAAAGAGTCCGTATTCTTGCGCATCTTGGGAATCTGAAGATCGGCCTCCCAGCGGTAGTTGATGTGAAGGAAGGCCCATATAGCGAGAACGGAAAGGGAAGAGACTGGAATAGAAATGGCGAACCACTGAATCCACGATAGAGGTGGGTCCATTGAGCCGAGAGAGATGAGATTCTGAGGAGATGAGATTGGCGAGGCTTGACCACCAATGTTGGCTGCGAGAGCGATAGCTATCTGAGCGATTGTCAGCGTGGCCTCAACCAAAATGCTATATACTCACGATCAAGCACTTTGAGAACTGCGATTTGGGGTGCAGTTCATCCGTAATGGGCTTGATCAAAGCATAGCACAAAGTGGGCGCCGCCACATTACTGATCCACATACTCGCAAATGTCGCCACCGCCATGAGCACCAGCAACACCGTACTGGGCTTGGAGCCAGCGGCATTCAAGATACGTGTGGCAGTCATGACATCTAGTCGGGTCTTGGAGAGGACGGCGGCGATAGTGAACCCGCCGATAAGGAGCATGATGGTGGGGGAGAACATTTGTGAGAAAATGTACTTCGTGGCGTCTGCAGCACTTAGCCGCTCGTCTTCGCCATCGGAAGAGCGCAAGACTCGCAAGAAGACGGTCAATAGAGGGACAGCCAAGGATGTAACAAATAGGGGAATGGCCTGAAACCATCAGTCCAGCACAGGTGAATTGAGGGAACGACTTACCTCGGTCGCCCACAAGATGATACAAAACACCAACATTGCCATACAGTTGCTTTCCTCTACGCGGTCCAGCGGCTGGACTTGTACGATAGTCACTAAAGATGCCGCAGCAACAACGGCCATGACCACCTTCATCGTCAACCAATTGGGAACCCCAATCCCTCCGAAAGGCGTTTTGAACACATTCTTGCTCGAGCCAAACTCTAGTATCTGGTCTGGCGTGACACTCCTGAATATTCCTTCTGAACGGTTTCTGCCAGAGATCATTTGAGACCAAACAGTTTCTCGGTCGATGACGACCTTCTCTCGAAGCTGAGAACGAAGTTGCTCTTTGGCGAGATCGTCATCACCGCCGGCAGCTACACGGCGGTAGAGAAAGAGAATGCGGCCAAGAAGCTCATCGAGCTCTTGCTTGGCTTCATCGGTCCAGGGAACACTCTTGAGGACAACGTCTTTAATGTATTCCTTTTTGAGCTGCAAATGATCAGTGCATGTATCCAATAGGGGCCGTACAACTTACCTTGAACTCGGTATTCTTGTCATACTTTTTCAAGATCTTTTCAAAGGCAGTCATGTTCAGATCTACATACTGCTTCAGAGCATATGCGTCTAGCCAGATTTTGCTGATCCTTTTCTTGAATCCGATCCTCAAGACCGTCCCGTAATCGCTGTTCGCCGTCCAAATGAACACGGGCCTTCTCGCTCCAGGCTCGGCAAGGGCGTTTCTGCCTTCTTCAACATCGCCCTGATAAGTCTGTGCCCACTCGGGAACAGTAGCTGGGTCCATCTGCACGAGACCAAGAGAATGGTGACGAGGGTTTGACCACGCGAAATCGCCCTCATGTGACGACAAGGACGAGATTGATGTCCTCCTCCCGTGCGTACCCGCCACAGTGGCAAGGTCATCCACCGAAGACTCAAGCTCGGATGATCGCCTGCCAGCCTTCGTCCCGGGCACTCGCGCACTTCCAGGGTCGTCGAAATACGAGCTTCCTACTGAATCCGACATCCTCTGGCTCCTCGTCGCGCTTGGGCTTCTGCCCCCGCCTCGGTAGAAAGGCGGGATGGAAGCTTCGAGGATGTCATGGTCTCGTGGACTTGGGGCACCGTTCTTGCGTTTGCCAAAGCGGAATGTGTTGTTTAATCGCCCGACCAAGGAAGGTCTGGGACGGCCAAAGGAAGATCGGCTTCGCGTAGGCGAGTGGCTCGGCTCGATAAGGTTATCAGTCTCTCTCACCTCCCCCACTTCACCCTCTGCCGTCCTCGGCTCCCCGTCTTCATCTTCCTCATCTTCCTCCTTGATCGTATCCGGCTGGGTCAAATCCCTCTCTTCTATAGCTGCAACCTCTTCTTCGAGCACTTCGAGCGATTGGGCGAGTTCACCAAATTTGGGTTGATAAAAGCTGGTCACCTTGTTGCGCTCCTTGTCGAGGGCTTGACGAAAGTCATCGGGCGAGGCATACTTTTTGTTCCCACGTGCGGTTGGTAGAATAGAAGATGATTCGTCTAGGGTGGCACGATAGTCGGGATCGAGCGGGTTGGATGGGAAGAGCTTCTTCAAGGAGTCGTAGCTGATGGATCGTCAGTTGATGTGCATACCTACTTATCAGAAACTCACTCGACATAATTCTCCCACCACTCGATGTTGCTGTTTAGCTCTAGAAGAGTACTGGTCATTGTGAGCTTCGCGGTCCAGGCGTTTGCTCCTTCTATACGTACCCAAACTTCATATTGTCTCCCGACTTGGGTGCTTTTGTAGCGTGCTTCCAAGACCAGGGCTTTCTCTCGTGATGCAGGTGCTCTTGATGCGTGTCCTCCAGGCGGATGGGGTTGCTTAGAGGCTGTAGCTGCCAGGCTTCGTGTGTGTCGTGCGGGGGCGTACTACTATACGGGGGGAGGAGGCGGGCGAGGGGTGTCACCGTGGAGGGTGTGGGGGCTGTGGGCAGGGGGGCAGGCGGCGCTGGAAAGCAAGAGAGGATGCGAGATGGAAATGGGAAAACGGCACAAGCACGTTATCGACGTCAGTCCAACTCTAATCGGCTGCACCCGCTTTCCTAATCCTAATCACTCACCGCCAACACCGTCAAGCATTATACTCCTCTCGGGAAAGCGACTCGTACAGGCTCGGGCGTACTACTGAATGTTTATGCACAGAGGAAGCTGACTCGGTGCTCCTCGGCACTCGAGACAGAGCACTCTCGGCCGGACCAGCATGAGTGCTTGGCGGCGACGCGTCGCACTGGGCGGTGTCTCTCAACTTCAATGTGGCAATGGTAAAGCGGGTCCTCACGACATGATGAGTTGGATGCTTGATTAAGATGCTTCGTATAGCAATCCCATATTACGAATGCATACACAATGCTGAACCGTCATCTTTGCTGCTCACTCTCGACGGCTTTCAAAACTTGTCTGCAAATCTCTTCTGCAAACTCTCCGCCATCTCCACAACGGTATCCTCGAATGTCTTGTATTCAACA